TAGCGATGCTGAAGCACTCGCATATACCTTCCTTTGAGTCATATTGGCCGATTACGGATTACTAGAAGAAATCATTTCAGACAGAAACAAACTGTTTACTTCGAAATTTTGGAAATCTTTAATGGCGCTTTTGGGAACAAATCATAAGCTATCAACAGCTTTCTGTAATGGTGGGTGCACCAGATGTGAGAATCTAGCCACCCAAGGAAAGGATGATTTTACTAAGACAACACACTGTCTTAGGAAACAGAGCCAAAGGGTTGTAGCTTAGACTATTCCACAATGTAGCAATCAGGTGTATGATGTAGTGAAGTGGTTCAGACAAGTTGTAACAAATGTTGAGTCTGAGAACTCAGGGATAAGTCAGAGGTTAGCACCTCACTGACTTTTCAGAAACAAGGAGTAACAAGATCAATGCTTGGAAGCTTGGAAAAGACGTGGAAGTATGTGATAGTCGATTTACTGTATTGTCTGCTTGCCCTTTCTTAAGGAAAGGGCAATCCTATTTATGCCAAAGGAGTGTAGTTCTCTCATTTTCCATGACTTTCCATGACTAACCAGGCTTGGTAACTGTATTAGAAATCAAGTGCGACCCACAACTAGCTTGCTAATCATGTAGTGAACGTAAGAGAATCCCATAGAACCATCTCTTGGGTTCCTAGCCTATAGGAAGTGAAAGGAGGTCCAAGGTCAGAGTACCCCTATAGACAAATTATGTCTAAACTTAACCAATCTTGTGGGTAACTAAGGAGCGATGACGTGTAATGTATCATAGAGGGTTGTAGAATGTGGTAGTATGGCCCACCCCCTTAAGGAGAAGATTTTCTTAATAACTTGTTCAATGAGTGTCCAAATGATATGCCGTGATGTTTGTAGCATAAACAGATGTAGTAGAAGAGTTTGCAGCAATCGTTGAGTAGTATTGCTCTTGTTGTTGGTGTGATAAGCCAAGATATGTATGGTGACTTGTAGGTTTGAGGAGGAGATTTCTAAGTTTGCTCTTGAGTTTGATAGCAAACTGAGTGCAACGAATGTCAGTATGACACAGGCTAGTGGATAGTTGCAGAAACTACTGGATAGTTAGATAGTTGGGAAAAGCACAACTATCCCAACTATCCCAACTATCCTAACTATCCTAACTATCCTAACTATCCTAACTATCTGAACTATATATAGGGCACGACGCCACTATATAAGTAGATAGTATTCCCTTAGATAGGAGCTTCGTGCTCAACTCAACATAGTATTCTTTACAATACTGTAACGTGTTACTTGAAAAGCCTTTGTGTTTAATCCCCTGCCTCCTCTGTTAAGTCAACCTTATGTAAGAAACCTCTATGCATCCTATTAGATAGGAAGCAGTGTTACACCCGACCTATCAGCTGCTAGGGCAGCAAATAAAAAGCCAACAAGCTGGCCAACTGTGTAAATTGTGAAGAGAAGTCCCGTAGCAGGGCCTTGCTTGCCAACGTTAAAATAAGTGTAGAATGCTGGCATTTCGTTCATTAACGACATAAGGGAGCCATCCTGGCATTAATGGCCGTGTCTTGATAATTTTAGCATTTATGGCATACGTAAGAGCTGTATATACATACTTATAGTAATTTGTCTGTAATGGAATAGTTTTGTTCGGCTGCTGATAGCTTTCTTGAGCATAATGATAGGTTATAGTTTTAGCAATGATGGTGATGTCTATGAAGTTTCCCTATCTTTGACTAGAACATCAGCAAGGGCAATGTTTTCAACAACCACTTGTTTGATGTCATACTGACATTCGTTGCACTCAGTTTGCTATCAAACTCAAGAGCAAACTTAGAAATCTCCTCCTCAAACCTACAAGTCACCATACATATCTTGGCTTATCACACCAGCAACAGAAGCAATACTACTCAACGATTGCTGCAAACTCTTCTACTACATCTGTTTATGCTACATACATCACGGCATATCATTTGGACACTCATTGAACAAGTTATTAAGAAAATCTCCTCCTTAAGGGGGTGGGCCAATACTACCACATGGCATATCTCTACCAACTAGAGGCCTAGAAACATGAACGATAGCTCTAGAAGCTTCTACAACCCTCTATGATTCATTACACGTCATCGCTCCTTAGTTACCCACAAGATTGGTTAAGTTATGACATAATTTATCTATAGAAGCTTTAGCATGGCTTATAGAGAACCCTTCAGAATCTATAGCTGTAGCTAGTTGGCTTTTTAGTGTCCTAGACAGTACACTACGGTCATCAATTACTCAGGCTTCAAATACTCAAGTCAGCCACGGAGGCCACAACAGAGTCCTATCAGACACTCAAATCTTAGCTCTTAAGAAGTGGATTGTACTTTAATATGAGAAGGGGTTAGGTGCTACAAGGCATATGACTTATGCTGTAGTCTGTCACTTGTACAAGCCAGTACAGCCTCCATCGCAAAGTTGGCTTACTAAGTTTCTCAAGAAGGAGCTTCATGACTTTCACATTATAAAAACCAAACCAATTTCACATTAGCGATCTGCAGCTCAAGACAAGACCTTAGAACTAAGTGGTTTAACAGCTATAGTCAGTTCTATTAGAGAATCAGATTATGCCTGACAATATTTGGAATATGGACGAGACAGGTTTCTAGGTTGGAATTCCAGGCAGTGAGGAAGTATTAGTGCCCTTTACTGCTTCTGAGCTCTATACTCCTAGTCTAGAGAATAAGGCGTTATTACTGTTATTGAAGCTGTGTCTACAAGCAGAAAAGTAACTCCACCTATACTAATAATTCCAGGAAAAGTGCACATGGAGTCCTAGTACCACAAAAGTCTCTCTAGCACAGAGAGAATCTTGCTCTTAGAGTCTGGCTATACAAATGACCAACTAGCAATGGAGTGGCTACAGCACTCCACACAGAGTCTTCTAGAGACTCAAATCTTAAGGTCTTGCTCTTAGATTCTCAACAAGCCACTGCACTCCACAGTTTATATTATTAGGAAGTGGGAATAATATTCTCATATACAACTTTCCCTCACATCTTACACACATTTTACAGCTTCTCGATGTAGGGATTTTTCACCCTTACAAGCACTAGCACAAACAAGCAGTGCATACAGCTATCTAGAACCTTGATTTGGAGTATAATATTAGCTCCTTTATGAGAGACCTTTTAGGAATTAGAGCTAAGACCTTTAAGATTCAGACAATAAACACACATTTGCCAACTCTAGAGTGGCTAACTGCACCTAGGCAGTTACTCAACTACAGAAATACTTGAAGCCAGAGCCTAAGCTACCTCAAACTCCAGAACCTATTCTAGTATCTCTTAGAGACTCAGAAGCCCAGCTACGATAATGGAAGCCTAAGATTCTTGTTCTGTTAAGCAGTTCCTCTAGACAGCGCTATGAGGACTAGGCAGCTGGCACTGAGCAGATGCTTGTAAGTGCCCAACTACAGGGGTTAGACTTCTCAATTCTTGAGAAGCAGGTAATAGAGCAGAGGAAACAGAGGGCTAAGAGTAGGCGCACCCTTCAATTAGGTGGTGCACTTATAGCTGAGAATGCCCGGAGGCTCCAGGCCTAGAAGCTCCAAAAAGAAGCTATTAAGGAAGCTATAAAAGGTAGCTAGAATAGCTAAATTAGCTACTATTCAAGCCTGGAAGGAGCTACGCCGGGCTGGTGTTGCAGCCCGGAAGCTGGGCGGCTCCGGAAGAAGAGGGTAGCAGCTTTACGCAAAGCTGGCCAACCAATTCTACCCGAAGATCAGGGGAGCCAGTTCCTGACGCAGAGGCTGAAGCCCAGGCTGCCCAAGCTGCTCAAACTGAGGAATCTACCGGAAATGGGAGTGGGGGTGGGAGTGGGGGTAACGAAAGCAACGATAGCAGCGTTGAATTTTATCTTTGATAATCACTCTATGTATCTTTACATACAATTTACTATGCAAAGGTACTTACTTATTTTGCCATGAAATCGCGCACTTTCAACCCCACAATCCCTGGCCGTGATTGGCCCCCTTACAATTGTGATGTACATTCATTTTGGGTGGGACATAGTTGCTAAGAATCCATAGCTTCAGCTTCTTTATTCTTTTCTGAATAGAGGTATTTGCCGTCCGTTGGGGGTTTTTGTGGAATTCTCACTCCGTGCCCAGCAGGGATGGCGATGCCGCCCAGGCCGCCAAGTGCCAACCCGGCGCCAAGCTCAATATCGCCCAACTAAGAAGATAAAAGCTGGGCACCACTCCTCTGCGACTAGCTCGGGAGCAGAGTTTTCTACTATATAAAGTAATTACAGTAGCTAGATTAATAGAATATGCTTTTCACGGATCACTGTTCTGAACCTGGTTGACACGCCCGTATTATTCTATTCTTACGGACCGCTACCTGAAGTCTTACAGTTTTCTTAGGTCGGGGGCGGGGCGGGACGGGACGAGAGTTGGTGGTAGGCTTAGCGGCAGGCTTAGCGATGTGGCTAGTGCAGCTGATTGAGAATTCTTGCTCGTCACGATCATCCTAGATAATGCTTTAAAGCAGTGCTGATCTCTTGCTGCTGTTGAGAAACTGTACAGGAAGGAGCGAAGGTCCTGCCTTTCCATCTTATCTCTTCCGCTGCCATACACCCCAAGAGGACAGGAACGATGCTCTAACCTTCTTACTATTGCCGCGCAACTGCACCGGGAAGGAGCGACGGTCCCAACTTCCTCACTCTGCGATTGTGTTATACTCAAAGACGGCAGGAGCGACACTCCTCTATCCATTCTCTTTGCTACAGTTAGACATATGGCGTTCCACGGTAAAGTACTAGCGAGATCAAATCAATAGCATCGGTGTTGTCTACCGGTTTCAATATCTTGAATTGATGTACTATAAGCACTAGAAATGAGCGACTATAACATCAACCCAGTTGGAGACTAATCCCGACACGAAGTATGATTCCTCTGAGGCGTATAAATCATAAAACAAACATAGCCAAGAATAATACCCAGCATCCAAAATTGCGAAGTAGTCATCCTATCATCATCGTCAAACAGAGCGCGCATGAGATTGGATTTGGTGACGTTGGAATTGAACCAAAGGGTCGCCGTGGTCGCTATAGAGCGGTAGTTCTTTATTTATGAGGGCATCCTTCACAGGTGCATCCCTCGCCGCATCCGCCTGTAAGAAAAAGATGTCAGTGACAATCCATTAGAAAGGAACTGAAGCAAAGCGGGCAGAAAATGCCTTAAAGTCGGACTGACGAAGAACAGACGGAAGTTACTTACACGAGCCACTCGAGGCACATCCGCATCCACTCATGATTATGGTTTAGGTTGGTTGGTTTGGAGACAAAAAGCCTCAAGTTGTTCGTAGTCGTAGTTGAAGTTGAGCGATTATATCGTGGTAAATGAAGTCTTGAAAAGAAAGATGGGAAGCCAGACTAGAGCGGGGGTGTTGAATTTATATGTTCCCGCCCAACCATAAGGCTCCCGGTTGGGCCGGCCAGTTCGCGAGCTGCAAAACTCATGGTTGGACCGGGCAGCTCGCGAATTGGCCAGCATATGAGGGCACTTTATCGCATCGATCGAACTTGTCCAGCGATTACGACCCGACATCTAGATACCTATTGGACGGCCCTTCCCGCAATCTGCCCAATGAGACCCGTATAACGGTATTAATGATAAATCTAATGCGCGCTTCGGCATATTCATCTATAATTTCAACAGGATAGGCCATTACCCCAGCAGATCTAGCTACCCCGAACCTCCTTATGAACCAGGAGAGTGCAGAAACCATCCTTCGCATTTTTAAGGCAACGGCAATCAAACAACCAGAGACCTAGCACAACTACGCAGTCCTAGGTGTCCCTAGCACTATCCACCAGCTCATAGGCAACACACTTACTAACACTGTAGAGTTGGTTAGTAAGGAAGTCTAGGCCTAGGCAAAACAGAGGCCTATAAGCTGCCAACCCTCCTAACATAGGGCAAGACAGGGAAAATCACCTAGATTGTCTCCTTCCTTATGCTAGTTAGGCCCTTCTGCCTCTTTAATGCTAGCGAACTCTCTAAATAGAGAAGAAGATAGCTATTACTAAACACGACCTAGGCTACTAGGGATACTACAACCCTACAAAATGCACGAGATATGTACAGTGCAACTACTATAGCACTCGACCAGACCACTACACCAGCCCTATAGGACTCAACTACATAGAGAAAGCAATATGTACCAACTGCCATAGCCCCTTCCCTATCAGACATAGCTACTGCCATGCTACCCCTAAACTGTAAGGACACAGGGCACCCAGCTCACAGTAATAGCATATGAGAGTGCGAGTCAGAGGCTAAACGGATGCTATCCTATAGGTCTACTACGAAGGATACAAAAAAGATGATGAGGAACCCCATTGGGTCAATCCCCTTAAGTACCCGAAACAGGTCCGACTCGGCTAACCTGCCCTAACTCTCCCCACGTGACTGTAACCCATCCGACTCAGATCCCTTCCGTCACTGAGGGCAGAGGCATCCTTACATAAACGGAAGAATGGCAAGATCATTACGCCTACTATACAGGAACTAGATTAGCATGTGCAAAAAAAGAAGAGAAGGAATCAAAGGCAAGGGCAAAGGCGGATGCGAAAAATGTACAAGAGTCAGCTTAGGTAGCAAAACAGCTACTAAATATGGCTAAGTGGTCTGCAATTAAAGACCATAAAGCAGAGTGTAAGCATGTTGCAGACTGTAAAGCAAATGGTTTGAAGTCACTTGTAGTGGTCTTACAGTATAAGGCATATAAGAGTAGCGACAACGAAGATGAAAATGAGTTGGTACAAAGTTTAGATAGTGAAAATAGCTCTGTTAATTTTGTATTGTTCAGGTACTACGCCATTACCTCGTTGATTCATAGATATGTATATCATATTAATGCATACCTAAACTCGCTTTTGCATACCTAACTCGCTTTTGCCACCTACTCGATTCACTCATAGCTGGACAAACCACTAAGTAGAAGAAGATGGATTTTATAGCACTCTCTTAATTACATTTGTTCTTCATATACCCTCTTATCCCTATACACATTTGCAATAGTTAGGTGCATGATGATGATGATGATATTTATTTATGTCTAGCGGGACGCAGGTGTAACCCAGGTGTAACCTGTGGCCCTAAGACCTCCTGAAGGATATAGGGATGTGCTAAGCTATGGGTTTATGTATAGGATATGACCTTAGAGAGCAGTTCTTGCATGTTTGCATGGCTGTAAGGCCCGTTGACTAAGCACCTTCCCTGCTAGTTAGGATGGTGTCAGGTTTGCTAGTAGAGGGTCTTAGAGGTTCTCCTGAAAGGGGGTGTATGCAGGACTGGTTGGTCTGATGTTATAAGCCACTGCGAGCGTGGTGTGTAGTGTGCCCTCCAGCCTTGCTGCTGAGTTGCAGCTCTGTAGCTTAGTAGCAGGTGGTAATATAGTAGGAAAATTAGGAACGGGTGTCTGAAAACAAAGTATAGCGTCTTTAAAAAAAGTGTAGGGGTGTTTGACCTAGACCCCAACTGCCATTTTGCAAAAATATAGAGTAGATATCCTCTAGGACTATCTCACGTTAACCTAGTGCCCCTATGTAACACTAACTTCTAATCGATAGAAGACACAGAGGTTTCTTGCGTAAGGTTGACTTGACAGAGGAGGCAGGGGATTAAACACAAAGGCTTTCTACGTAACACGTTACAGTATTGTAAAGAATACTATATTAAGCTGAGCATGAAGCTCCTATCTAAGGGAATACTATCTACTTATATAGTGGCATCATTCCAAAGGGATATTAGAGATAACATAGATAACAAATATCCATCATAGCCTCTGCTATCCATTACGTAGGACATCGAGGATATTATAGATAACAAATATCCATCATATCCTTTGCTATCTGTCACGTGGGATATCGAGGATATTATGGATAACAAATATCCATCATATCCTCTGCTATCCATCACGTGGGGTTGAGGCCGTAAACGCTAGCTGTAACACCTAGCCCCACTAGTCTTGTGACTTACAGATCACGTTACTAGAGCCTAGCCCTGCTAGCACCATAATCATAATGTCGCATTACTGTAGCCATAACAGCGAGGTGGAGTGTGGTGGTATGGTAGGGTGCACTCTTGCCTGTGTTTACCTAGTAGACCTATAGGTCTCTGTTTCTAGGCCGTTTCTAGTGGCGTTAGCCGTGACTTAGGGTGTGGTTTCCTAACAGATAGGGGCGGTGGTGTCGACGTCCATGGCCTCTTAGGGGCTGCTAGGTGTTTGGTCTGCTAGGCTGAAGCTCTATGTAGATAGGTCTGCTAGGTTAAGGCTGTGGCAGGAGGCTGTGGTCTGCTAGGAGTGTCTGCTAGTGCTAGCTTACAAGGAGGGGGTGCTAGTTGTGCTAGCATTTTTATGTGCTATGATAGCTGTGCCCTTTTTTCTCTTTGGTAGGGTGGGTGCAAGATTGGTTGCTAGGCCTTAGGGCTTGGATTAAGGTTGTGTTTCTAGCGTAGGCTCCATAGTAGCTGGTGTGTAGGTGTTCCGGAATTCCCTGTCCCCTTGTTGGCAGATGGAATCTAGTATGCTTGATGATCTTGCCATTCTTCTGTTTAGGGGTAGCAGGGTAGTGGTCATGTCCTGTAGGGAAGGGGCTATGGCAGTTGGCGCATCTTGCTTTCTCTATGTAGTTGAGTCCTATAGGGCTGGTGTGGAGGTCTGCTCAAGTGCTATAGTGGTTGCACCATGTATATCTTGTGCATTTTGTAGGGTTGTAGTATCCTTAGCAGCCTAGGTCGTGTCTAGTAAGAGCTGCCTTCTTCTCTGTTACTTTAGAGAGTTCGCTAGCGTTAAAGAGGCAGAAGGGCCTAACTGGCATGAGGAAGGGGACAATCCAAGTGATTTTCCCCATTAGTAGGTTTGCCCTATGTTAGGATGGTCAGCAGCTTATAGGACTCTGTTTTGCCTAGGCCTAGACTTCCTTACTAGGCAACTCTGTAGTCTTAGTGAGTGTATTGCCTATGAGTTAGTAGATAGTGATACCTAGGACTGTGTAGTCGTGCAAGGTCTCTGGTTGTTTGATTGCCGTTGCCTTAAAAATGTAAAGGATCATTTCTACATTCTCCTAGTCTATAAGGAGGTCCTAGGTGGCTAGATTAGCTAGGGTAATAGACTATCCTATGTATGTAGGGGTGATAGTTAGGACTAAGGCTAGGGTGAGGCTGGTGATTTTGGTGCTAAGTTTCTAGCGTAGTAGGAAGGGTTTAGGTCACTATAGTAGAGCACCCTGCTCTACTGTAAGAAGGAGTCAGTCCTGTGTAATGGTGGGTGCACCAGATATGAGAATCTAGCCACCCAAGGAAGGGATGATTTTACTAAGACAACACACTGTCTTAGGAAACAGAGCCAAAGGGTTGTAGCTTAGACTATTCCACACCGCAGCAATCAGGTGTATGATGTGGTGAAGTGGTTTAGACAAGTTGCAACAAATGTTGAGTCTGAGAACTCAGGGGTAAGTCAGAGGTTAGCACCTCACTGACTTTTCAAAAACAGAGAATAACAAGATCAATGCTTGGAAGCTTGGAAAAGACGTAGAAGTATGTGCTAGTCGATTTAATGTATTGCCTGCTTGCCCTTTCTTAAGGAAAGGGCAATCCTATTTATGCCAAAGGAGTGTAGTTCTCTCATTTTCCATGACTTTCCATGACTAACCAGGCTTGGTAAATGTATTAGAAATCAAGTGCGACCCACAACTAGCTTGCTAATCATGTAGTGAACGTAAGAGAATCCCATAGAACCATCTCTTGGGTTCCTAGCCTATAGGAAGTAAAAAGGAGGTCCAAGGTCAGAGTACCTATAGACAAATTATGTCATAACTTAACCAATCTTGTGGGTAACTAAGGAGCGATGACGTGTAATGAATCATAGAGGGTTGTAGAAGCTTCTAGAGCTATCGTTCATGTTCCTAGGCCTCTAGGTAGAGATATGCCATGTGGTAGTATTGGCCCACCCCCTTAAGGAGGAGATTTTCTTAATAACTTGTTCAATGAGTGTCCAAATGATATGCCATGATGTATGTAGCATAAACAGATGTAGTAGAAGAGTTTGCAGCAATCGTTGAGTAGTATTGCTTCTGTTGTTGGTGTGATAAGCCAAGATATGTATGGTGACTTGTAGGTTTGAGGAGGAGATTTCTAAGTTTGCTCTTGAGTTTGATAGCAAACTGAGTGCAACGAATGTCAGTATGACATCCTGCTTTAGAGTGGTCCTATGGCTATGGCTAGAGCCTGTGGCATAGGAGGTTACATTAGTTGCTCTACTGCTAGAAGCAGACAGGCTAGCGACCCTAGCTCCCTAAATAGAGGCCCCTAAGATCTTTAGGGTCTTAGCCACATCTGCCTAGCTAACATATTTCGGCCCTATAGAGGTAGTTGCTAGTAAGGTGTAATGGTGGGTGCACCAGATGTGAGAATCTAGCCACCCAAGGAAGGGATGATTTTACTAAGACAACACACTGTCTTAGGATGTAGCTTAGACTATTCCACAACACAGCAATCAGGTGTATGATGTAGTGGAGTGGTTTAGACAAGTTGTACAAATGTTGAGTCTGAGAACTCAGGGATAAGTCAGAGGTTAGCACCTCACTGACTTTTCAGAAACAAGGAGTAACAAGATCAATGCTTGGAAGCTTGGAAAAGACATAGAAGTATGTGATAGTCGATTTACTGTATTGTCTGCTTGCCCTTTCTTAAGGAAAGGGCAATCCTATTTATGCTAAAGGAGTGTAGTTCTCTCATTTTCCAAGACTTTCCATGACTAACCAGGCTTGTACCTCCTTTCACTCCCTATAGCCTAGGCTTCTAGTTGATAGAGATATGTCATGTGGTAGTATTAGCCCAGTAACTAAGGAGTGATGTCATGTAAGGAATCATAGAGGGTTGTAGAGATATGCTATGTGGTAATATCAGCCCAGTAACTAAGGAGCGATGACTTGTAATGAATCATAGAGGGTTGTAGCAATCGTTGAGTAGTATTGCTCTTGTTGTTGGTGTGATAAGCTAAAATATGTATAGTGACTTGTAAATTTGAGGAGGAGGTTTCTAAGTTTGCTCTTGAGTTTGATAGCAAACTGAGTGCAACGAATGTCAGTATGACATAAGGGCTGGCTTCTAAGAAGAGCTTGTAGGAGGACACAAACTTGTCTACTATGCTAGCGAAATCATACATAACTGTATGAACTGTCCTGCATTCTCTATGCAGATAATCCAGCCATTAAGAAGAGCACGAATGTATGCTTTAATGGGGGGCAGTGGCATCTTTCCATCATCACAGCGCCGCTGATACAATGACTCTCCCATAGGCGGATACACAAGACACGAATAAGAACCTTCTGTGCTGTTAATTTCAAAGGAGTCTAATAATGTTCGGATAAGTGAGCAACCGCAATGTGATGGATCTGCCGTAGAAAATCAACTTCGCACTCATGACTAGCGGAACTCGCATTGTTATTAGCGATTTTTAATGCTACGATGATCTCTGGCTCTTCGATATGTCTATATATTAGTTAGAGATGGGGAGAGCTTGGAATTGAACAGAAATTATTAAAGGCTACCCTTGCAAATCACGCGCAAGCCATACTGTCGAAGACACACCCCAGCCAACCTTGACTAGAGTTTGGTAACGATCAGCGAGTACCTTTCCAGGCTTCGCTGGGTAGAAGTACTTAGAATCGTATAATGGCGAGATCTTTTTATCAACGAGTATGCCAGGCGGTAATGGCGGCCCATGAGAAGGCATGGAAAACGGTTTCTTGCGAAGCAAGGTGGAGAAACGAGGAATGAATGGCCTTGTATTGTTCATTATAGGTCTACTTCCCATAAGCTGATGGGAGGATGCGATGCTAGTGGTGTTAATGTAAGACATCTACATTACCCCCCTTAGTTTGAAGTATGAATCTAACTAACGTGGACAGTGGAAGCCCTCACCCTACGCCCAACCGCACCGACCCATACCATGGATCCGTCGTTCTTCTAGATAAAGACGGTAAACGGGTTATATCTGCGCATGCCTATCGCAACGGGTATGTTAAAAGGACCTGCAAACTTTGAAGTTAATCCGTATCAATGGCCGATCATGTCTTCTGTAGTGTAATGTTCCGTTCAGTGAACGTCTTCTGCATGTCTGTGAAGATGCGTGTCTATGGAAGCGCTGAAGGCGCCCCAGGCTGTGGATCGGTAGCATATGGTATGGCATTCGTTCAGTCACAAGGTTGCAAGAAGAGTCTGGTGGCAATAGAGGTGGAGCAGTTTCAATTGATGCGTAAAGCTAAGCAACAATTATGCCCCCCCTTTTAATTTTTTGGATACCCTTTATCTCTGTAGCCAGTACTTCTTCCCGTAAACCTGTCTGTGGATTCATTCGTGTGAAATATCTGTATAGCTTTTGAGCACTGGACTGTTCAACAGACACGTCATAGCAACGTATTTCTCCATTCCACGCCATCTTTTTCAATTGTAGTTGGCAACATAAGCATCGATCTGTGAGAGGATCTCCTCCTTCCTCTTGTCATCGGCCCACGATCCCCGAACTGCCGCTTCAGCAGTGCCTTTCCACTCCTCAATAGACAGTCCAAACACCTCCTCAACAGCACAGAAGTTGTCGAGAAGGTATCCCCCAAAGTAAGCAGGGTCATCCGAGTTGAAGCAGATCTGGACGCCTGCATCGAGAAACTTGCTGATCGGAAGCTTAGACACGGCCTTGACGATCTGCAGCTTGACATTGCTAATCGGGCACAACGTCAAGAGTTTCTTCTCGGCCGCAACGCGCTTCATCAGCTCAGCATCATCCGCAAGACGGACGCCATGGTCGATGCGCTCGACATTGAGGCTGTCAAGGGCACCGGAAAGGTAATCTGGGCCGCCCTCCTCGCCAGCGTGGGCGGTGCGGTGGACACCAGCCCCCTTCGCCTGTGCATAAACATCGCGGAACAGCTCGGGAGGGAAGCCAACCTCGGCGCTGTCAAGTCCAATGCCGGTAATGGTGCCGTCGGAAAAGTAGCTGTGGTTGGCCGCCAGAGTGAAGTGGTCGTTGGCGCTGGCAACAGCCTTGTCGCGGAGGAAACACATGATGAGCTTGGAGGTGATTCCGAAGTCTTCTTTGGCCCTGCGCTGGGCTTCTGCAATGCCCTTGACTACGGTCTCGTAGGCGACGCCGCGCGAGGTGTGCGCCTGGGCGTCAAAGAAGATCTCGGCGTGGACGCATTTATCGGCGTGGGCATGAGAGAAGTACTCGTAGGCGAGGAAGGTGAAATCGGCCTCGGTGAGGAGAACGGACATGCCGATGTAGTAGTAGTGGAGGAAGTCGGAGAGAGATGTGAAGCGGTCATACCTGGCTTGGAGAGCATCAGGAGAGGCAAAGGCGGGGTCGGATTTGGGAAGCTCGACCTTGTTGGTGGCGGCCAGCATGAAAAGGAGATCTGATGAGAGGGTTCCTTCAATGTGGAGGTGAAGTTCCACCTTTGGAAGGCCCGCCAGGAACGTGTGAAGCTTGGAATTGCACATGATGGCTTTGGCGGAGTGGTTTGGGGATGTGTGCTGGGGTTGAATTTTGAGATTGAGTATTGGTGGAGGAAGGTGATGAGAATGACACAAGGTGCATCTGTGATACAGAAGCTGGGTCTTAACACAAAGACTGCTTAGACAGGGTATGGCGCCTTTTGCAGAAAGAAAGGGGGTTTTTGCTTGGAGGCTTCGACGTTGGGAGGTGGTGAAGGAGTCGAGGGGTAACTTGACGTGTCCACTAAGTTCGAAAAGAAAATGGGGATTGTGTGCGAGGGAGAGAGGCAAGGAGAGAAGTTTAGAACGTACACAGCGTGGAACGCCAGTTCTGTCTGTCGAGACTTGGAATGTCAAACGTATGAGGAATTTGGAAGAGTAATACTCTTTGTATTGCTCATCTTGGTAACACGGACGCGACGACGGCGGCGGCTTCGGAGTATTGAATTATCATCTCGATGGGGCATCGTACCCATATTTGAAGGGTCCAAGTTCAAAATCGTGAGTCCGAGCAAGCATCATTGTGGCCATATACCATCGGAGAGGCTTTATACAAGTTCCGAAGACTTGTCCTGATCCGCCGTCGCCAGGTCACATGTTTTAGATAGGACAGGTTTTCGTCACGTGGAGCCAATGTTGTGGGTTGAGGGCGGCGGAAGGGAAAGGGCGTTGGAGATGGATGGGACGGATGGATGAAGCTCGGGCGTTGGAGATGGCTGGGATGGATGGATGAAGCTCGGGCGTTGGAGATGGCTGGGACGGATGGATGAAGCTCGGGCGTTGGAGATGGCTGGGACGGATGGATGAAGCTCGGGCTTTGCGGATCGGATAGGTTGCCGTCATCTGAAACGCGGAGTCGCCCCACGACGAATAGGGATCAGCTTTCACTGCGAGTGGATAGCCGCGGTAATACAATAAAGAGGGCAGTTAACAGCCGGGCGCGCGGGGTTTGGCCAAAGTTTATGCATGTGGAGCTGTGTCTGAAAGCACCGGAACCAACAATATGAGGTGCTGTGGGACATGGAGCTACTGGTAGCACGGCCATACTTGACAGCGTACATGAACAGCAAAGGCAGCGAGTGGGCAGTGTTGGGTCTGGTCAAGTCGTCCAGTGTGATGTTGGGGTTGCATTTGCGGTTGGGGTTGCATCTGCATCTGCATCTGCATCTACTCGAGGTGATACAAAGCCGACATGTGTAACCGGTCTCAAGATGCCGACGGCACCGGCATTGTCTCCGCCTCTGACAAAGGAGGGTCAACCAGATTTGCGGGGTCGGGATCCTTCCGTGCCACAGACGGACGGCATGGGCGCTGTGCTAGAGTAACACGCCGATGCTTGCTCTGGCCGCAATAATAGCACCGCTTCGTCTTCCGAATGGCACCACAGGAGTGTCTGTCAGGTCTGTCTGTCAGGTCTGTCTGTCAGGTCTGTCTGTCAGGAGTGTCTGTCAGGTCTGTCTGTCAGGTCTGTCTGTCAGGTCTGTCTGTCAGGTCTGTCTGTCAGGTCTACCAGTCTCTAGTACTAACAACTATCGCACCCACTTGGTCTCCACATACCCCCTAACCCATCCACAAAGTCCACATATCCCCCTAACCCATCCACGTCTCTCCACATACCCCCACATACCTCCACATACCTCCACATACCTCCACACCACAACCCATTACCCCCCTCTAACCCTTCCCCCTCTAACCCTCCCCCCTCTAACCCTCCCCCCTCTAACCCTTCCCCCTCTAACCCTCCCTCCCCCCTCTAACCCTCCCTCCCCCCTCTAACCCTTCCCCCCCACCCTTGCTCTCCCCGGCTACTTTGTTAACATCTTATGGAGACAGGCATTACACCTCTATACCTCCCCCTATGCCCCCATACCCCTAGCATATGGGGGTATGCCTATACAGTGCCACAGTAGAGTACTATGGTATAGGTATAGAGTATAGAGTACTACCTACTACTTAGCCAATCAACACCACATTCCTCTATAACAGAAGATGCCATGGAAAAATGATGAAAGCCAGATATTGTTAGCCATCTAGGCTATACAAAATGACCCAAACCTAAGTGCTCAAGCAGCTAGGAAGATCTATTCTATGGATTACCATAGCAAGGTGTACAACTACAACGCGACATCATAGCTAATTTACAGAAACTATTAGACTTAGAGGAAACAACAATTGTTTAGTATGTCCTTGACCTAGATTCGCATGCATTTCCTCCCTAGCTACATGATGTAGAAGATATGGCAAACAATCTCTACATAGCAGGCAACGCGTTGCTATAATGCTACTTCCTATCTAATAGGATGCATATTCTTACATAAGGTTGACTTAACAGAGGAGTCAGGGGATTAAACACAAAGGCTTTCTAAGTAACATGTTATAGTATCATAAAGAATACTATATTAAGTTAAGCATGAAGCTCCTATCTAAGGGAATACTATCTACTTATATAGTGGTGTTATGCCTTATGGATAGTTTAGATAGTTAGGGATAGTTGGATAGTTAGGATGGTTTTCTCAACTATCTAGACTATCTATAAGGCATAATGCCACTATATAAGTAGATAGTATTCCCTTAGATAGGAGCTTTATGCTTAACTTAATATAGTATTCTTTACAATACTATAACGTGTTACTTAGAAACCCTTTGTGTTTAATCCCCTGCCTCCTCTGTTAAGTCAACCTTATGCAAGAAACCTCTATGCATCCTATTAGATAGGAAGTAGCGTTACACCAGCTACCACTCGACTAGGTGATTGCAGTTAGTGAAAATGGATGGACAACTAATGAGAGAGGCCTAGAATGGATTTAGCATTTTGACAAATATACAAAGGCTTGTACAAAGGGTGTATATCGCCTCTTAATCCTTAATGGCCATGAAAGTCATCACTTAACTGACTTTAAGCTTTACTATAAAGCAATAAGATTATTACACTTTGTATGCCAGTCCATTCATCCTACATCCTCTAGCCATTAGATGTTGGCTGTTTTGGCCCGTTAAAGACAGCATATGGTCGGCAAATAGAAAACATGATGCGGATGCATATAACCTATATTATGAAGGTGGACTTCTTTCCTGTTTTTTTCACTGCTTTCCAAGCTGCTATAACAGAGGAAAACATTAAAGGGGGGTTCTAGGGCACTAGACTTGTTCCCTTTAACCTAGAAAGTGTGATTCTTAAGCTAAATATTAAGCTAAAGACACCATTGCTAGCAAGCTCACGCCCTAGCACTGCCCTACCTAAGATGCCATACAACCCTATTAAAGCAACTTCGTAATCTGAATTTGTGAAAAGACGGTTGCTGCACATTAGAACAGTTCGCCAACATCAATCTACTAGGCAATTGACCAATTTGCAAAAGGTGCATTAGGGGGAATGCATAAGTTAACGTTAGTGCAGGCGGAGGTTACTAGTTAGGGCAAGCGGAGGTTACTACATTACGCGAGGCAAATGATCTGTGGCAAGGAGGATTACTTAGTCTACAGAATGGTCAGGAGTTACAGGATGAGAAGGATGTTGCGCAGCAGGTAAGGCAGGAAACCCAGTTGAGCAGTGGTCGGAAGCCACGGGTTGGAAATGCATGCACGGGGCTGTGGCAACTGTGCCCAAACTGGACATAATGCGCGCACGTGTCAGGAGGATTTAGGACATGTTATCTTTTGTTATGGTAAAATTGTTGGAAAGTTTGTTGCGTAGGGGTGTAAAAGAGTCGCTATCGCTATGCTGTCGCCTTCGCTATGCATGTACGTTACATATACATCCTTCCTTGATCCATATATACCATCCACAAGACGGGTGACATCGAATCCATATCACCCGTCTTGTCTTTAAACTGCCTGCTATTATTCTCCTCCCTCCCACCACCAACAAACCCCTTATGTGCCCATTCCCTAACATCAAACCGACCGCCGCTATCCCCCGAAAGCCTGGTTGTTTCCATGCCACCACCACCGCCACACTCCAACATCTATCTAGCCACCAACCACCCAGCCTCGGCCACCAACTCAATTCTTCCATCCCCCCCCCCCCCCCCCCCTTCCCAAAAACCGTCAATCCTTTACTCATATCTGATTGATTCGTCAAGATATTCGTGGCTGCCTCTTCTTTCACCTCCTCCTCTCTTTCTGCCTGTTACGCTGTTACAACATTACAACAGGCTGTTACAACATGCCTCTACGTGCCCTTCCACCGGCCCCGTGAATAATTGGTGAATAATTCGTGGGGATTCAAAAAGGCCCTACCCATATCCCGTCCGTTGCTCATCTTTTAATAAACCTGTCGCAGATACATAAAGTCTATACATACTTATATATCCTTCCTGCATATATACGTATACTATAACAAACTCCCGCTTTTTTTTGGCCCTCGTGCCCGTTACATCACGGCAACTTCGCCGCCGGTTCCTGGTCATCTTTTCCGGCGTGCACCCGACTTGTTGCGTGTGTGCATTTTCTCTTCCAAGGCTTCTTCCTTGCCGCTTGCCGGATATCGAAATACCCCGACGGGCGACCTTTACCATTCCTTGACGTCGCACAATCCCGCCTTGCAAAAATTTCCTTCCTGAAAACTCTCTCCACCAAGCAAACAGCTGATGCCAGTTTTGGGATTCTTTTTCACTTCGGAGAAGTAGTCATTGCTTTCGGGCCACTTTTTGGTTGTCCAGCCTTGCCTCCTGCGGCTTCTGTTTTAACAAACGTCGCTCTGGAGGGAGTCCATTGAATTGTCAACCTCTAGCTCCCGAGAAATTTCCCCACGTTTCGTACGTGGGCTGGCTCACTGCGGAAATCCCAAAAATTAAAGTCTTGGGCTTTCATCGCTCTGTACCATTGGGGTGTTGATGCGACGAGGCTCCCATACCCTCCTCCGTCGATCGTCGTCGCTCTTCTGACCACTATTCACCGTCGCCCCACCCGCCAACGCATTGAAGCATAGCATGGCCGCCCCAATGCATAACAACTACCCGCGCTCGCCCATGCAGTCCTCATATGATTCCTCCTCTGTGTCCTCCGCAGCGTCCCCACAAGCGCAGCAATATGGGGGAGGTCTCGCAGGTCCATCGCCTCGATTGAGCGGACAGCCTCCTCACCACATCATCCTCCCGCCCACGAACTTTCACACCCCATACCAGAATTTCTATTACCCCAGCGCCGCGTCGCCTGGACCCCAGGGAATGGACTCAATTGCCTCGACCGGGTCGTCCAGCGGCACACCGGGCCTGCCGTCGTCGGCGCAGATGAATGCTAATTTCCAAGCTCAGAAGCGAGCGTATCGGCAACGGAGGAAGGATCCCAGTTGCGATGCTTGTCGGGAGCGGAAGGTCAAGTGTGACGCTACGGAGACTATGAGCTGCTCCGAATGCTCGAGCCGGAATGTGAAGTGCCAGTTCACGAAGGAGACGAATAGGAGGATGTCGTCTATCAAGCAGGTGCAGGATCTCGAGAAGCAGATATCGCAGGTGAAGAGGGAGAATGTGCATTTGCGCTCGCTCATGAATATACAGGAGGGTCACACGGATGTGGATCAGGATGAGTTGGCCCCTACGGCGTTGCTGCTCCCTGAAGTGGGGTCGCATCCGAAGAGTCGGAAGCAGGCGCCCCCTCCACCGGACCTCTCTAGAGTGAGAACGAATCTACGGAACTATGGCCGAGGAATATTTAAACCGCCTGCGCCGTATAGGCAAATCGGCTCCCAGGCACACTTCAACCCGGAAAGGCCACCGTTACCCGCCAGGCATATTGCGGATCACCTTCTGGAATGCTATTATGCTTCGATCCATACTGTCATACCGCTCTTACACTGGCCGACGTTTATGGGAGAGTATGGGGACGCCTACCGTATCGGTACGCTGGATCGGATACCAACGGCATGGGTCTCATTATTCTTCTCGGTGCTCGCCGTTGGCGTTGTCTTCAGCACAGAACCTAGTATTCAACGACCCCACAAGGGCAAAGAGTATATCGAGATGTCACGAATGTTGACCGATCTCTGGAACGACGAGTTTACCATCGACCACGCCAAGGGAGCGTTATTAACAAGCATCTTCCTCACAGAAGTGAATCTCAAGTCCGCAGCGTGGACATGGCTGGGAGTCGCCACCAGAATAGCGCAAGATATTGGTCTACACATGAATACAGGACCATGGCCTCTCATCGAAGGCGAGATGAGGAGGAGAGTATGGTGGTCGATATACGCCTGGGATCGACTCCTATCCCTCGAAATGGGCCGCCCCCTACTCATCGAAGACGCCGACTGCGACGTCGCCTTACCCGCAGCAATCGACGACCACTATATCCGCGACGACGGCATGCACGCCCCCAACGGCGCAAATCCGCACACTCACCTCCTCCTCCCCACCATCCACGTCGTCCGCAGCATCTCCCAGCTCCGCAAAACCATCAAGAGCCCCACCATCGCTCTCACCACCCTCGCAACATTCGACACCCACTTCCGCACCTGCCTCTCCGCCTTCCCCGCCCCTTTCAGCCTCGACTCCCGCGAGCCCCTCGATCCGTGCTCTCTTTCTCCTATCATCTACCTCATGAACACACGCATTATCCTACACCGGCATAACCTCTCTACCTCCTGCGCACCGGACATCCGCGCAAACGCAATAGAACAATGCCTCCGCATCGCCCTCGACACCACCCACTTCCTCGCCCGCGCCAGCACCCCAACCCGCTCCCCAAACCCCCCTTACCACACCCAACCCTCCCTCCTCGGCGCCACCGCCAGCACAATGCTCACAACGCACATCTGGCGCTGCACCCTCATCCTCCTCTTCTGCGCACACTTCGACGCCGCACTAACATGTGTCCGCACATCCGCCTCCATCGGCCGCAACCGCGACGCCAACGTCGCCTGTGGCCGCAACCTCGTCTTCTTCCTCACCACCCTCCTCGAGCGGCGCCGCGCCGGCTCCAAACCCCGTGACATGTCCGACGAAGAAATCCTCGCCTACGTTAGCGGCGACATCCAGGCAACCACAGACGGCGGCTGGGTCTGGCAGGGCAGCGAAACCGGGATGGCCTTAAACTCCAGCGCCACCGCTGGATTCCCCGGCGATGATAGGGAGGGCGTGTTTAACGGGACCATGAAGGGGAGTCTCACCGACAGCGAGATGAATGACTGGGGTGGCTGGGAGAGGGTGGACTACCTCGTCGGCATACTCGCGCGGGGCGAGGATGAGAGGGAACGCTTCTCCCCGCAGGGGGCAGCGGGGGGGGCGTATACTTCTCCGGTCGCGCCTAGGGGGGGGGAGAGGGAGGTGCAGAGGACGACGACGGACCGAATTAGCATCGCTAATATCATGTGAGCGACGCGCGCGACACATACAGTAGGGGCGCAGTAGCTACCGCTACCCGACCGCCCCCCTCCTTTCCACGAAGCAGCAGGGTGGTGTTGTCGCACCGCCGGCTTGCTTCGTGGCTGACAGTTATGGAGCTCCGAGACACGCGGCGAGGGGCGCTTGTGAGACACTGCAGGTTGCCGCTGAAGGAAGCGGATGCCTGCGTGTGGAGTGAGGGGCAACGGCAGATACGCGGGATGAGGTATTTTCTTTGCTGGATACGAACGAGAACATGAATGTTGAAGAATTTATGCGCGGATGAGACGGCAGGCGACTGCTGGGATGGAGATGTATATACAGATTCTCTGATGGCGTACAAGATGAGAAGGGGACGGTTAACGGAGCCGTGCGGGATACACGGGATTGATAGAGAGAAGCGTTTCGGCTTCTGGTCTTGGGGGGGTGGAACTTAATTGGGGAGGGTTTGGTGGAAGTGTGTGTGCGCAGTTTATACCCAGAAAATTTCATGACTTGTTTGCTTCGTTCGTATAATAGTCGTGACCAAACTTTTCGCTTCGCTCAAGGTTGGAGTAAGCAATACGCGGCTGCCCAACCCGAGAGGAAGCAATACGCGGCTCGTCAAACGTGCGTCTGTTCATCGCCACTCCTCAACAAAACCTCCACCATAGTTGTACATAGTATTTAGATAAGTATTTATGCAATTCATTTAATGGAAGGGACTCCTCTATCAAATTCCCGTGAGTGGCTCCTAGAGAACCCCTCTGAAACAGCAACTACTGCCAGTCGGATTTTCAAAGTGCCTAAATTAACAATACAGTCAAGTATCAGCCGACTAGCCTAGCAGCTCCCACACCGAGGGGGCTAGAATAAGCTACTCTCTACTACGTAGACAGAGGCCATAAATAAATGGATCCTTGAGCAGTATTACCTAGGGCTTAGAGCAACTAGGAATATGATATTTATTGCTGTCTGTAAGCTCTGGAGCCCACAGCTGCCCCTGTCACAGAGCTGGCTTACAAAATTTATACGGAATGAGCTTAAGGAATATCACTTTATTACTACGAAGCCAATTGCACAGTAGCGTACGAAGGCTCAAGATGAGCCTACAGTTCTAAAGTGGTTTCAAGAGTACGGCTAGTTTATACTAGAGCGTAGTATAAAACTAGAGTCAATCTGGAATATGGATGAAACTGGCTTTCGGATTGGGATTCAAGGTAGAGAGCATGTAATTGTGTAATTGTGCCACGAGCCGCAAAGGAGCTCTACACTCCAAGCCCTGAAAATCTTATGTCTATTACTATACTCAAGGCTATGTCTGAAACGGAAAAGTCATACAGCCTGTACTTATCATTCTAGGCAAAATACACATGGATTATTAGTACCACGCCAACCTTCAAGGCACAGAGCTTATCATTCTCTCTAACACTGGATTTTCAAACAGCTAGCTTGCCTTACAGTGGCTAGAGCACTTTGCAGAGCATACTCCCTCTAAGGAAACGAAGGTTCTACTACTCGGCTCTCATGTAAGCCATACAAGTGATGATTTCATCATTACTATAGAAAAACAAACTATTATCATATACGTTCCTATCCCAGTGTTCCCCAAAATAGTATTAGTATTTGTGGTTTTCGAATAGTATTCGGCGATGAGCAGTATTCGGGCTAAAATTGGGGTATTCGGCGAGTATTTGCCAAAGACTCAAATACTATTCGAGTCCTTGGCAAGCACGGCCCAGGATGCCAAGCTACGAAGATTTTACCCCGCCCTCATAGATAGATCTGTAGAAATAGATCCATCGATAATATACCAATTGATATTTCTACCAGAATGAGCGACTCTGAGCTATCCGCAATTCCAAGTGACGAAGATGAGGAAATTCAGCGTCTACCACCCCCTTTTCCATTCGAGTCTTCGCCGTCGATAGCTCTACCATTACTACAAATACGGCCACAACTCCCAAATACTCAGTCACTGTTGTTCTTAAAGAATGTATTCAGTAGAACATTGTTAAGCACCAGCCCTGCAACGATGAAGATTGTCTGTATGCAAGATGGCTGTAATTATAAGCCAAAACCGAAGCTTTTATCATGGAATATCACGAGTAATTTGTGGAGGCATGTTGAAAGCATGCATCCTGCATTATACGAAGCTATAAAACCAGGAACTCCATTGCTACAGCGTGCTCAGAGTTCGCAGAGTCAGAGTTCGCAGGATTCGCAGAGCGCTCCGAATATGAGAACAGCCCGAAACGCCCAACAATTCTTTACTCCTCAAGTAGGAGGATCCGTTCTTGCCTCTCGATATAGAGAGTTATTACTTGCATTTATTGTATCTAATAACTTACCAATGAGTCTGGTTGATCGGCCTTCGTTTCGTCAGCTTATTCACCAGCTTAGCCCTTCAACGTTAGCTATAACAATGAGCTCCTTAATGCGCAATTTACACAAGACATTCTGCAACCACCGTATGAAGCTACAGATAGAACTCCAGGCTCATATAATAAAGGGCGGATGGTTATCACTTACGACTGATTCATGGTCTGCAATGAATGGTGCAGAGCACGCTGCGATAACTGTTCATTGGATAAATAACGAATGGGTTCACCAGCACTGTGTTCTTGATATCATACATCTAAAGGAGCCCATTCATTCCGGTGAATATCTTGCAGAGCAGCTTCAAGCTGTTACGGACGACTTTGGTATTACGAACGGAGTCTTTACAATTACTAGAGACAATGCATCGAACAATACAGCAATGCTCGCAGAATTTGAAATAGGGGCATGCACGAGCGTCGTTTCTATACAGCAACCATGGAGCTTTACAGTAAAGGAAGGCGACGTCCGATGCATGGCACACATTATAAACCTTGCGGTTCAAGCAGCTTTAACTATGTTAAAAGCTGTACCATCAGAACAAACGGAATTGTATAGGCTTAAGCAAGGCTTACCCCATACTCAAGGCTTCGTTCTTAATAAAGAAGAAGTGGCAACGGTTCTTATAAAACTACGCCGGCATATCTATGTCTTCCGGAACCGTCGAGCATGAAAAGATGCATTGAAAGTACAAGCATCTGCTATGGGTATTCAGGTGGTTTCAATGTCCCTCGATATGCCTGTATGATGGAACTCAACATATTATATGCTTGAGAACGCTTTGAAGCTTGAGCAGCCGATCAATGCTTTATGTGCTTCGCAAACGATGGATTTAAGTATGCATGATATTATCATTACATCAATAGAATGGCAAGTGTTACATGGACTAAAGGCGTCCTTTAAGATATTCGTCAAACCAGCAGAGCAAGTTCAAGCAGATAATTATCCAACGTTGAATGTCTGTATTCCACACTATCTACGGCTTTTAAATAAGCTTAAGGCAATGGAAAACGCTCCATCGACAACAGCAGCAATAAGCGCAGCTTGTAAAGCGTCGTATAATAAGCTTGATACTTATTATAACCTTGTGACAAATCAAGGCTCAAGCCTCTCGTCAATTGCTACTATCTGCGACCCAAGATTCAACTTAAGTATACACGAATTTTATATGCCAAATAGTGTAGACGCTGTAAAACGAGATAAGGCAAGAGCACAGTTCGCAGCTTGCTATAACCGGTATAAAGACCGTGAGAACGATATATAGGTTGCTGCTATTGAAGCTACTATTGCTGCTGAAACTGAGCAGCCGACGACTCTAAGAGAACTTGATTCCGACGATGAGATGTATCAGCATCGTGGGCCTTCTATTGAGGAAGTTGAGTGGCGACGATGGTTCAAAGAGAATGGTGTCGACCGTAATACTAATATCCTCAAATATTGGCAGGCAAAGCAGTATCAGTATCCAGTTATATCACGGATCGCTCGGGACTATTTGGCAATTCCAGCCTCATCGGCAGCGTCAGAGCGTATATTTAGTGTTGGCGGTGATATAGTCACAAAGAAAAGGAACAGGTTATTACCTTCAACTCTTCAATATCTACTCTTCCTACGGGATTGGGGGGTTATAGGCGATGAGGAGGAGGATAATAGCGAGTAGACAGTTATCATATTTCATTACTATATACTACAGTTGAGCCTCAAAATACTCAAATACTATTCAGCGAGGATTTGTATGAGTATTCGCCGAATACTCCCAGATGGCGAGTATTCGGGAAAACTCTGAATACTATTCGAATACTATGATGGGATAGGACCTATCCCATCTTACTTATATTTTACAGCACTAGATGTAGGATCTCCATATAAGCACTAGCATAGTCTATGCTGCATAGAGAGGCTGTGCTTGCTGCTATACGTGATATGGATGTTATGTACAACCTACATCCTTTATGAGGGATCTTACCAAAATGCAGCGACAGACTTTTAAGGAGTCTACAATTATATCAGATTTCTAGAAAGCAGGAATTTAGCTAGTAAGCCACGTTATAGCTCTTGTAAAGCTACGTACGTACTCACAGCCTAGTCCTATGCCAATGCATACACCTACGCCTACGCCTACGCCTATGCCTCTACCTATATGGGTTTCTACACCAAAACCCTCGGCTTTTAGGGGGGTTGAAGACAGGTTCTAGAGGGTTTTAGTAGCCCCTTGAAGGAGAGCTATAGGAGGCTAGCTTCAATAGCTTGACCTACTAGCTTTTCAATGCTAGATTGAGGAGTTAAAGAAGCGGTCGAGCCGAAGCCGGGCTCGCCTTTAGTTTGGAGGAAAGCTTACGGCCGCAGTGTGGTCGATAGTAGGATGAGATCTTGTCTACTAGCGCAAGATATCTTACGCTAGTATTACTAGCGTTATATTGCCCGTACAATACAGAAAGATTAATCTTTGCACCGTACAATATTAATGTGAAATCTCATGAGAATTTCACAAGATTATGCACTAAACACGTGATTAATCCTATGACTTACAAGGCCCGTGCAATGCTTGTACAAACTTTTCTACCACGTTATTCCCAACTTTCCCCCGATTAGCCAGACCACCTGTCAAAATGTCATCAGCGCTCCAGAATCTAGTGAAATTTCCGATCTTAATTCTGACATCTTTAACTCTCAATTGGTAGAATCTCCACCTCTACCATCAATTCAAAGCTCATCGTCGTCAAAGAATGTTACTCGTACAAGCTGGGTATGGAGTCATATGCCTGGCTCTATAGACACGGTATATTGCAAAGTAGGCTCTAACGTTATACTCTGGCGATGCAAGTATTGCACAAGTGAATATCCAATTCGTGGGGGAACTGCTCATATTGGGCGACATCTTAATAAGGAGCACTCAGTATTTGAAAGTGAAAGGCCTACAATTATTGCTCGACAGTTGAGTATCCAGACTGCAATTCAGCATGCACAAGAGTCTCAGTCAAAGCGCTGTCGAGTCGATGTGGATATCAACCAGGAAGAGCTAAAGCAGCTTCTCATTCGTTGGATTGTAGGCAGTTCTGTCTCCTTTCGTATGATTGAATCCTCTCAATTTCGAAACCTTCTCTACTTTCTGAATCCAAATATCAACAAAGCCCTTCCCATGAGCCTAAGGACCCAATTCCTGACCCAGAAGCCCTCCAAACTGAGATCAAGAGCGAGGGCGAGGGCGAGAGTGGGAGAGAGGGTAGGAGTGGGAGCGAAGAAGTGATAATTTTATAGAATGGCTTGATTATGTATCTTTATATACAAATTACTATGGAGAGATACTTACAGTCGCAATTGAGACGAGCCGCGTATTGCTTCCTCTCGGGTTGGGCAGCCGCGTATTGAGTTTGGTCACGACGATTACCGCTTTTGTCATATTTACGTGAAAGAGATTCAGCTACAGTGAGTAAAAGCATATCTTCATGCCAAGGGTGCGTGGAAGTGATGGCGGATGTGATACTTGATGGGTGGGTGAAAATGTCTCACTATCCTGCAAATTTGCCAGCGACGACGCAGAGGGTACCTCGCGGGAAGTTATTAGTCAAGCGGCCCTCTGTTTCAATAATACTGCCAGTTGGTGTGAGGAGTGTTTATAATATATACAGTACGTGTACAGAAACGACAGCGCAAAAACCAGGTATGCCAACCCCATTCCCCAAAAAAACCCATATCAAAACATCAAGCCCGTGATCGTCGTGGCGCTTGTCCCTCTCCGATCGTACAAATCTTTCCATCCCATCTACTCCTCCCTTGTTCTCCAATCCCCCACCGTCGTACAACACGGCGCCAACGACCCCTCCGGCTCCTTATTCCTCCCCCCCAACAACCAATCCGTCAACCCCACCACCTTCGCCCCAACCCCCTTCTCCCAATTTCCCCCCTCCTGCACATGCTCAATAACATGCTTCACGATCCTGCCCTCCTCATCAAACTGAAAAATAAACAATCCCGTAAACTCATCCTCCGCCCTCGTCGCCACCCCGCCCTTATCCCCCCCCATCTTCTTCCCAATCGTCCGCCACCTCACCACCAGCTGCTCGCGCGGCGCAACGCTCGTAGGGTCGAAGCCCGCGGGGCTGGGGGACTTCACCATTCGCTCCGACAGGATCTCGAGACGCACGTTGCCGATTATGGGAACACGGCCCCAGGCGATGGGGGAGGTCCAGACGGCGGCGATGTAGGCGACGCGGCCGTGGACGGCGGGGAGGTGGGGGTGGGTCGAGGGGAAGAGGTGGAGTGTTATTTGGGGGGAGAGGATGGCGGTGGGGAGGGGTGTGAGGAGGAGGGAGGGGAGGAGGGGTTGGAGTGTGCGTAGGGCTGGGACATGACTAGTTAGCGGGTGTAAATGGTTGAGGGAGTGGGGGGATGGGGGGTGCGACGTACTCTTGCCTAGCTTGAGGGTGCGTTCGTCGGGGGGGTTGTAGTCTTTGCCGGCGCCTTCAGGCTGGGGAAGTGGGAATGAACCCGAGAATGGTGTTGCTGGGGTTGTGGGAGGAGTTGCGACGGCAGCATAGCTGCGCGCGTAGGCATTCTGGGCCGATAAGCATGACGGTGGGAGGAGCTGTAGCTTGCGAAGGGCGGGGCCGTTGCGACGGAGCATGAAACGCGTGGAAGACATCAGCCCGGCGTTCGATTGAGGCCTATGCAAGACATGGAGTCATTGAAAGTGATGGTGGTTATCGCATTAGTACAGATATTTGCTGTGCTGGGGATAGAAGCTTCGTGGTGGAGGGAGACCTTGGGGAGGGGGAGCAGGATTTCGCTAATCGGTGTCATAGAGCCGCCACTAAACCAAACTGCGGAATAAAGGCGTCATAACGTCTGGATTGCTGCAATGCGCTTTATCTACAAGAATGAATACAAACTGTATAAAACAGTTACAATTATAATCAATATATCTCGCATTCACTCATGTTTACATCGGTTTGTTGACATTTAACAGCCGTTGGCACAGCCCCCCAAACTTTTCGGGTGATGACGCAGCTTTGATGATACCGGCGCTAAATGGAGATAACACTCGCTTAGACTGCCCCATTTGTCGTGCGTCCCCTGTCAGCGCGCCTCTTAAACGACTCCTCCCGCGGCAGACACACCAGTCTGTCTTTCTGGTAAGCCTCCGCCTCCTCCATCTCTCCATCTCTCCATCTCCAGACCACAGATCTACTACTACTTTCACCCACTTCCTGCAACTTCACAACAAGAGACATCTTCCCGCAGACGCCTCTACGCCCTTCCATACAACCCCATTTTATTATCTTCTGCAAATAATCCGCCATCATGAATCCAGAGTAGTACGTTCAGCTCCAGCCCAGCCCTGCCTGACTCCAGACTCGGCCATATAAAGATTATGGAAACCGTTCGACTGACTTTTGCTCCCACCATAGTGTATACACCACTCCCCATCACAACCATCTCAGCATCGCAATCAGAACAAAATGGCGACAACAGCTAGACCCTGGGCATACCGTCCCCAACATACGGAGGCTGACGTGGATCCTTCCAGATACGATTACCTCTTCAAGCTCCTCCTTATCGGAGACTCTGGTGTTGGAAAGTCCTGTTTACTCCTACGATTCGCAGACGACACATACACTGAGTCCTACATCTCCACCATCGGTGTTGACTTCGTACGTTGCTACAACCCGAGGCTCTTGAAACGCTGGCTGACGAACGACAGAAAATCAGGACGATTGAGTTAGATGGCAAGACCGTGAAGCTACAAATTGTATGACTCCCGGCAGGCACCCCACCAAATATATAGGAAACTGGGCGCTAACATAATGATACAGTGGGATACCGCAGGCCAAGAGCGCTTCAGGACCATCACATCTTCCTATTACCGTGGCGCACACGGCATCTGCGTCGTCTACGATGTCACCGATATGGACTCCTTCAACAACGTGAAGCAGTGGCTGCAGGAGATTGACAGATACGCCACAGAGGGTGTCAACAAGCTCCTCGTGGGCAACAAGAGCGATATGTCGGACAAGAAGGTCGTCGAGTACACAGTTGCCAAGGTACGATGCCTCCAGGTGACGCTGTCACATGACAGACCCTGCACCCCGTGGTCATCCCCGATCAGAACAAAGAGTCACTAACATCTGTCTCCCAGGAATTCGCCGATTCACTGGGCATCCCCTTCCTCGAGACCTCCGCCAAGAACGCCAGCAACGTCGAGCAAGCCTTCCTCACAATGGCCCGCCAGATCAAGGAGCGCATGGGCACGACGACCGCGAACAACAAGCCCACCGTGCAAGTCACCGGCGGGCAAGGAGTACAGTCAGGGTCCGCTGGCGGCTGCTGTTAAATACTTCTTCTCGACACGTTACATTCATTCATCGGCCCCGCAGAACTGTTTACACCATGGAATTTCCAGTTTTTTCGTTGTCTCGCATTAGAATCGCGTTCGTGTCCGACCCCGCATCGACGCAACCCCACCTTAATAATGGATGACGAGACGGGAGGAGAGGGCCAGGTTGATTTCGCCCATGAATGTGGCTTCCGCAGTTAGTCCCACGGCGATGCTTGACTTTTCTTTCTCTCCCGAGGAGCTTTGTTTTCAAGGATGGTAGAGGAGAGCTGGATTGTGCAATAGGCGTGGATAGGGGATCTTTTTTATTTTTGATGTGGTACATGCCCCCCCCCCTTTTTTTGTTCCCTGGCAAAGCTGCGTTGTTGTTTTGTTAGGTTGCGCCTGGTTTTGTTTTGTTTTGTTTTGTTTTGTTTTTTCAGATCGGTTCCTTCGTTTCCCCGATAGGCAAGAATGGGAGACTGGTGAATACTTTGACTATGCTTTTGTTGTGACTGGGTTGATTGTGATGTGATAGACGGTTGCTGCCTGTTTTACTTCAGGGACTGGGACAACTGGTGATTCCCACGTTTACAGGCGTTGATTTAGGTAACTGACTATTATGTGGGGTGCCTAATGCAGCTCAAACGCTGAGATGCATTAATGCACATGTATTTGATATAGCGCCGGAGTCTATTCATGCAAGCAAGTGGTGGAGGCATCAGGATACAAGTTAACGAAATCCTGTGTGGTTTATTCTCGGCTGTACGGATTGAACAGTGCTGGCGCAACCTGAGGTACATCAGAAGAGGGAAGAGGGCAGTGAATATGGAATGGGTCGAGCAGGGACTGACGACAACAGCATTTGCTAACGACAACAGCAGCCACGACAACAGTACACTTAACGACAACGACACACTGATTTTATCCATGCCTTGCTAGTTAGAAACATTTTAGTTAACTGCACAAGTCACAACTTAATTTCCCGCGGTCTCTACCCTGAACGGCGATTCAGGGCCATGAACGAAGCTGAACTCGGAAGCTTCAAGGACAGGGAACACTTCTGGCACCGAGATTAAAGCCATGCTGAAGGGATTGATAGATCGTCGTTAACAGACAGATATAATTCAAATACTGAGACTTGGGCTATGTAAAGAGTAGGTGGCAAAGTTAGGATGCATAGTTGTCACAATGAAAGAAAGTCGGAGGGCTAGGGTCCTCAAAATCCTCAAAATACCAACAGACTCGTAAGCGAGTTCGTAGATATCAAATCCGTTTCATTATTTCTATCAGTTTGGTCATCAATACTCTTGCTCGCTCGCTACAGGCATCCAGACTCATTCAATAACCCCAACAAAGTCATCATGCGTAGAAGAAGCAACCGCACCCTACGCCCTAACTCCATCCCTCACCGTCGATGAGATGGTTCGCACATTACATATCCTCATCATCATCTCCCCTCAACCTTTTCTCAGCCACTTCCCGGATCTTCTCTCCCAACACCCTCCTCTCATACCTCTCAGCCACCTTCACCGCAGCCTCCATCATCCTCCCCGTTTGATCCTTCATCAAGCCCACCAACTCAAGCGCTTTCATACCCCTCTCCTCTCCTTCCCTACACTCCACCGCCAACAACTGCAACAGCGTCTTATCGACCTCCACGTCCCTTCTCGCCAGCTTCGTGCGCTGTGAATGCGTTGCATGAGTCGCCTCCAGCAAGTCACCCAACAGGCTCGAAAGGAGGTTATTCCTCACAAACGACTCCTCAAGCTTGTCTTTCTCCGTCTGCGCGTTCGCAACCTCCTCATCCTCCTCGTTCACAACGCGCGACGAGATCGGGATCGCAAAGTCGAACTCAGAAAGCAGCGGCTTGGGGAAGTAAGGATGCGTATCCTGGCCCTTAAGAATAATACAGTGGAATTTCCCATCCGCGACAGCCACGGGCCAGTAACTCTCTGTCTTGCGGCCTGATGCAAGGCGCGCTAATAGCTTGGTGTCGAGGAGAGGCACCCAGCGCCCCTGCGAGGGTGTGCGCCAGTGGATCAGCGTGAGAAGCGTGCCAGTTGAGTCGTAGATGCATGGGTCGCCGGAGTCGGAGAAGAAGACCGATTTCACCGTTGCTCCAGAGGGCAAGGCGACCACATCCTCAGACTGGCATGTTTCGTCTCGCTTGACGTTATCGATGCTGTAGAGGAGGGTGGTGTTACCATCTGCGCCGACGGGGCCATTGCCCATTGTCAGGACGTAGTCACGCCACGAGGCACAGGTGACGGCTGGGGAGGACTTCTGGCGGTAGACGCGGTAGGGGGTTAGGAAGAGGGTGAAGACGCGGATGTAGTTTGCGGATGTGGTGACGGTGATGAAGGATTCGGAGAGGGAGATGGCGGTGATACTCTCGCCTTTTGGGAGCGTGGTGCGCCAGTCCGAACGCTCTGTCCAGGTTTCATGGGGGCGGTAGAAGAGGGTTGCGTCGACATCGTCGTGGGGTTGTGCTGAGAAGAGCGTTCCGTGGGTGGAGAGGCACGCTTTGTCATAGAGGAATGTGTCGGTGAAGTGAAAGTCGCGCTGGAAGTCGCGGTCGTAGAACTCCACGGTCACAGTGTGGTGGGTGTCTTGGTTGACGGTCCAGACGAACCCGAGGAGGTTGAGGCAGAGGTACTTGCGGTCGCCCTGCCAGGGCGTAGCTCCTGGTTGAAATGCTGCATGTGTGCGAGGTTGCCAGATAGAACTAATAGCTTGACGCTTGTCCCAGTGGGCATCGTCGTCCAGTATACCCGCTGGCCGTTTACCATTATAGTTCAGTCCAGAGGCGTAACCAGCTCCGTCGTCGTCTTCTATAAAGTCATCGTCACCGCCCATCACAGAGCCCAGAATGTCATCGATAGTATCCGGTGTCCCTCCACGGAAAGGGCGGAGTGGCATGTCCGTTTTGGAGTGGCCATTTTGCCTCTGGATATTTGATGAAATCTCTCCTAGGCGTGGGGCGCCAGTACGTTCTCCTGGTGAAGGTTGGAGTCCGAGTTCCAGCAGACCGGCATGCTCTTCGGGTACGATATCATAATGGATATATATCTCACCATCGGTATTGGAGAATGACAGCAGATTATGCCGCGGGTGCCAGGCCAAGTCCATGACGTTGGCATAATCATGCCTGGCGATTACTTTCTGGGATTTAGTGTTCCAGAGCAGAATCGTTCTATCCTTTCCGGCAGTAGCAAGTATAGATCCGTTTGGTGACCAAGCCAAAGCTGTGACGTCTCCCATATGTCCATTGGTGAATGTTCCTTGCACTTTCCAGTCGCTTGTCGAAACTATCTGGATATCTCTTGTGGCTGTAGGCGCAGCAAATGCTATGCCATTGGGGTGCCATGCAACCCTCGAGCTGATTTCGGAGTCCGTGTCAACGTTGCGGATAACACCGTCGATTTTCGTAACAAGCTCCGGTTCCTCGGTCGAGAGTTTGTAAATATACACTACTCCATCTGTGCATGACAGTGCAATGTATTTTCCGCTAGGGTGATATGACAAATGCTTGACGGGCTTCCCTTGGTCTCTCAAATAGATGCAGGTATTCGGGTCCGAGACCTTCACAATCTTTACGGTGAGCTCGTCACTTGCTACCGCAACCCAGCTTTGGTCCGGCGAGAGCTTGACATCTCGAATTGGCAATGTGCAGCGGACGAGGAATTTATCGAAGGCGTTGGTGAGCATGGAGTACATGCTAACTGTCCCATCTTCAGAGCCGGCTATGAAGAAATCTTTCTGCACAAAGAATCAGTATAGCTTGGTTCAAAAGTAATCATATCAACCCACCGCCGCAGTGACACCCAGATTCTGCTCCTGGCAATCATCAATGTTCGTAGGTTCGCCATCGCTCATATACGTGTAGATACGGATAGTATTGTTGCTTCCCACAGTAACCAGTTTGCTCCCATCAGGGGTATATGTACAATATGTTGGTCCCTCCGTATGCGCCGGGCGCCCACGAAGTTTAATTTGCGCAGCAGTAGCCATTTTCTTCGGTGTTGTCGGAAAATAACCGTCGGCGCATGGAAGTGGTGATGTTGAAAATGGCAGACGCGGGACGGTTTCGCGGTGGACGCGACGCGACAAAAAGACCACTTACACAGATCGGACCCCTGTCGGTTCTCCAATCGGACCCAACCCCACTTCGGATGCTACCCCTCGCATTTGGGCTCTGACTTTGGATTCAACCACAACCAAATCCACAGGCTCCAAGATGTCTCGCTCCACGGATCCTGGCCATTTTTTTCAAACCGATGCTTCAGAGGCCATCCGCGCGCGGCGGGCAGCGAAGTCTGGTAACAAGAATGGCGATCCTACCAAGCTGACATCTAAGATCTTGGATGTGGCCGTGGACCCGTTATCGCCGACATGCTTGTTTGTGGCAGAAAGTGCTGGGTGTCTCAGAAAAGTCAACGTTGAAGTAGGTGAGCCAACCCATCTCAAAGTGACATGGATTTAGCCAAAGCTGACTGTGGGCACTGTAGTCTAAAGATACGAAGACTGTTTATCGCGGTCCAACTGCCCCTCTCACCTCAGTGGCCATTGGTGGACACAATGCTCAAACAGTATTCGCGGGATGCTGGGACAAAGACATTTGGAGCTGGGACCGGGAAACTACGGTCGTAGGCAAGAAGTTCAAGGGACACTCAGATTTCGTGAAGACCGTTGTCTGCGTGAATATATCGGACAAAGATGTATGTCCCGAACACCCTCTGCCTATGCTTCAAACACAGGGTTGGACTGACCAGACGGACTATAGTGCTTGATTAGCGGAGGGGCAGACAAGAAGATAATAGTCTGGGATATTGCCACTGGACAACGATTGTACACTATACGAGACAAGATGGACACCCTCCTTGCCATCCAGCATCTAGCGGTGGATCCGATTGACTCGACTCCCGATGAAATTATATTTGCAACGTCCAGCAGCGACCCAAAGATCCGCAGATGGCGTGCTACTCTGACTGAAGGAGAGCAGATCCTAGAAGATGTGGACAACAACGCAGCAGTGGTTTCAAAGACAGAGGGCATCAATGAGCACGAAACTAGCGTATACAGGCTGCTATTTGATTCCGATTACGGAGACTTATGGTCAGCAAGCGCTGATGGCAATGCGAAGTGCTTATCAAGAGCTCGAGCATGGGCAACGGAGGACACATTTGAGCATGGAGACTATGTTCGCTCTGTTGCCCTTACTCCAGATTGGGTTATAACAGCTGGGCGAAATGAGGATGTTAAGGTTTGGGACCGTGATACTGGCAAGCTCCACCACATATATGATGGTCATTTTGAGGAAGTTACTGGGCTAGCAATCATGAAGGATGGGAGGGAAGTTGTCAGTGTGAGTATTGATGGCACTGTGCGTACGTGGCCACTAGACAAGGTCTCCCTTCAAAAGGCGATAAAGGGGAAAGAAGAAAAGGACAAGGGGGTTGTCAAGGAAGTTGAACCAGTGGTTGCAAAAGACTTGATGACGGCAGATGAAGAAGCCGAGCTGGCTGAACTTATGGACGATAGTGATTGAAAGTCATTTATGATTATACACCTCCTGTGTCATTGTCCGCAATAGTGGGTTTATCTTACATGCTTCTGCCTCAACCAATTCCTTTGGTATATGGCAAAATGTGCAAGTGCAAGTCTTTTAATCCGTTGGTGGGGAAATGTGCCAGTGTGTTTGTAGGATATTCACTCCTGCCCTGACCGGTGACAAACTTCCCATTGCCAACCTCTGCCTCCTTTTAAGATTTCACAACCAACTGCATTTATCTTCAACTAAATAATAACAACAACCCCACAAACAATTTTCCGCTACTAAATACACATCTTCACAAAATTGGGCGGCCTATCAGTGCAATTTCACTGCACCTTTGTTACAACCCTCGACCAGTGATTTCCACCTTCAACACATCTTTTTTCCTCAACACACTTCAAATCCAATTCGGACCACAAGATCTAGACCTCCTCTGCAGACTCGAAGCTGCCACTATGGTGGACGACTTTATGATAGGCAAAAAGCCTTTGGTAAAACGACATGTTCTGAAGTCAGAGATTCGCCGAGTTGACTTTCACCCGTTGGAAGAACCCGAAGTAGAATCTTCAGACCATTCCACCATAGCAGACACTCGACAACGGGACGAAACGGGCTTCATGAACGATTTCGACTATGACGTGGAAGATCGCACTGTGAAGCAGATCATCGCCTTGGGCTGCGATGTTTCCGTGAGCAAGAAAGTTGTTGCTGATACCCTGGATCGAATCGAGAGACTCGGACAACACCCAGAACAGCCTGGCCGAACTGCCAGGGTTGAAGTCTTGTAAGTGGCTATCTGAGTTTTAGTTCTATAGTCGATAATTGTACGTCATTGAAGATCGATCTGACTCTGACACAGCTATTTCGTTTCGCATGTCATGCAATCACACTCGAGGCAGATGTTGATCCAGCAAGCCTCCAATCCATTCAAGAACCCCAGACATATGGCCACCGTCGTAACTCGCCTTCTGGAAATATATCTTGCTGGTAACCCTGATATCCGCTTCCTCATCATCACTTACCCCATGCATCATCTTTCCCTCATGCTGGCTCTGCGCGATCATATTGGATCAGACGTCTTCAAGGTTGTCACCATAGTCCCGGCAGCTCCTTTCGCTCAACGGACATCCAGCCTTGTTGAAGGAGGGGAGGATTTCACTCATGGACGGCAATCCCCTACTATATACGACTTTGAGAGGACTTCTTCCCCACCATCTAACCCGTTCTTTACCCCCGACGAACCAAGCGAGAGTATTGGAAAGCCCGACTTCGTCCTTTATACAACGTCACCCTTTGACACAGTCGAGCGTGTCCCGATTCGCATGGACTTGCTTATTCAAGAGATCGAGGAATTCGTCAACCCCGCGGAATACCCTTTCCCTATCACGGGGCCCCGTCCAGCAGTTGCATGGAACTCAGAGCCAACGGGTCTGCCACACCCTCTCTCCAATGTTACGAGAGCAGGAATTGACACGCCGCTTGAGCCCATCGACGTCGACGCCGCTGTCAGATACCAGACTTCCAAATTGATGGCGAAGTACCAGTATCAGCGCCTTAAGCGGTATCCAGGCGCCCCTCCACGTGAACCAGATGTGGTTAATGCCCAGTGGGAGCACACGTACAAGAAGGTCTACAAGGCTTTCCGAAAGATCAAGCTTGGGAAAGACAAGCCTGACCTTGTTGGCGCGTCCATAAACCCCAGTGATGATGAGAAGGCAGATGACGAAGGTGATCCGGAGAATTCTGAGGATGAGTCTGACGATGCGAGCATCACATCTATCCCCATAACGCCTATTAAGGACGACACGAGCATCAAATCTATCCCCATAACGCCTATTAAGGACGACACGAGCATCAAATCTATCCCCATAACGCCTATCAAGGACGACGCAGGCGTAACAGCAGTCAACGAAGACCCCTTTCAAGACGGCACAGAGGCAGACAATGCGAGTACTGGAACTGTCGAACGTCACCCTATCAACTCTGAGGAGGAGCTATTCTCCGCCGAAGGAAGCTCTCCACAACCTTCCTTGAAGGAGAAAGTCTCTTTCTCGCCCCTCTCCATGTCATACTCATTTGAGAAGAGGTCGAGCGATGGATCATCGGGGTTCTGGGCTCAATACGCTGAGGACCACCTTTGATGGGAGATGCACGCGGCAGCGTCCACCGGCGGCGCAATTTCTATGATTGTACGATTTATTGAATTCCAGACACGGAACGAAGGGATTGGTTGCATGTCCATTTTTTCTGCGAGATACCAAAAATAAATAAAACCTCTGAAAACAAATCAGACAGGAGGATGGATAACCTGTGTTTCTTTTGATCGATTTATTGGATTTTGCGGACAGGCGAAAGAACCTTCTGGAATGCAGGCAGAGGATATTTTGCATTGACTTTATGAGCAGTGCCAGACGAGCTAGGAATGATAGTTAAGGATTGATGATGAAAGGAGGGCTTCGATAACATTAAAGATACCCAAGCAAAGTTTGTTGTACGAGCATCTACAATAAAAACATTTCTCCACAATATCCTTCAGTGCCTTGTTTGTGTGCCACTTGTAAACCCTAGCCATTAATATAAGTGCTCCCCTTCGTCGTATTTGGCCCCTCTTCAAATAGATCCTCGAAACCGCAGGAAAATGCGGTCCGACGCTACGAAGGGGGACTCCCGGAAGACGCCAGTCTTCAACTCTGCACTCCCATCCTCGTTATTCGATCGGCCTTGACCGCGACTCAGTCTTCCAACGGGAGGGCGGAGTGCTGACAGTATCCACACAGTGACAGTAGACGGACGTGGTGGCAGAATAGCCAGTGACAGTGACAACACACACCTCATCCCTCACCAAATCCTTCAGTAAAAATCAGTAGAGCTTACATGTACGAAAGTGAGTCACCATAGTTTTGTTTTTGAAGTTGGTAATGTCGCGAACATTGAGTTGGATGATTGCTGTAACGAGGTAGTTTAAGGTTAGGAAGGATTTATCCCCTTTTTTAAGAGGTTTTGAAACCAAGTTTTGTGATTTGGCACCTTTTTTTTTGGTTTTAGTCGAACTTCATATCCCTTTTAGGTTATTTTGAAGCTGAAGCTAGGTTTTTTTGGTTATGGTACTCACTGGAGATGTTGGAATAATCGCCGTCTTCTGGTTCTAACGATGGATGCCGACTTTTACATCTACAGTTGCAGGGAATCAGGGCTAGATAGATATCACAACAAGCACCCACAATTCACCTCAACATCATAACACAATCTTCCGAGTAACGGGCTTGAATTCGAATGTATACCACGCACACTCCCTCCCTCCCAGCCGGCTATCCATCCAGCCCCTCTTCAACCTTCGCGCTATCCCCAGAATCTCACATACAATTACACCCCCATCCCTTCCTCATCCCCAAACCCAAACGCTCCAAAGCAAATTAACCCCCCCCCCCCCCCAAAATCCTAATATACTCAAAGGCACCTACCTACCCCGTAGGCCCCATCCGCCAAAGAAACGAAGTCTCAAAAAAACAACGCAGCAAACAAAACTCCCTCCCACAACAAAGCCAACAAGCCCCCCGTCCATCAGAAGTAGCTCCGACTGTAACTGTCCCGCGCCGCGCCGGTATAATAAATATTTGTACAACGCCCCCCCAGTCCCATTTCCACATCCCAAGCATCACTCATCATCCCTCCCTATTCCTACACCTCCTCCTCCCCGCATGTACAGAACAGCCCAGGATTAAACCTGTCCCTGCCTCGCAGCCCTCTGCAGGTTCCGCATGAGCGTCTCCATCATCCCCGCCGAATCGGTGTCGATTTCTGGGATATCCCCCCCTTGTACACCCTCCATCGGCCCAGGAGTGTCTGGTATTTCAGTATCCGCCGGCGCAACGGGGGCACCGGTGAGGATGTTGAGTTTACGATCCACCGCTGCTTGTTGTGGTGGTAGAGGACCCAACATTGTACCCGACATCACTGCAACTGGTGTAGCAACACCAGCATCCACACCAACCGCAGCCGCCGGCGCAGGCGCAGGCATACCCCCCTTCCTCCCCACCACCCCAACAGCATGATAAGTATCCGAGTAAAAACTCTTCACCGGCGCACTATAACTCTGCGAAAAGCTCTGCGTCGGTGGAACATTCTCAGCTGCTGCGTTCATATGCGGCTGCAGAGCCGGCTGCGTGAGCGGGGATGACTGCGGTCTCGACGGCGGACGGGAGTAATATTGTGCCGCTGGACTCATGTGTGCCGACCCCGGCTGCTGCGGTAGTGGTGGGGTAGCGACATGGTTCTGCTGCGGTGGCTGCTGGTATTGTGCATTCCACTGCCCTGCCGCGGGTGCAGGTGCGGTTTGCTGTTGTGGTTGCGGCTGCGGTTGTGGTTGTGGTTGTGGTCTCTGATACCCCGGCGGCAAGATAGGAGATTCCCTCCTCGTCTGCGCCGGTGGATTCACCACAGGCTGGTACGCCTGCACCACCCCACCAGCACTTCCATACTCCGCCCTAATCGCCGGATGTAGCCCTCCCTCCTTCTTATCCCACTGCATCCCCACCGGCTTCGTAATCTGCGCCTGCAACACCTGCTGCTGCTTCATCGCACTCGCCACAGCAGCGCCATTCGGATAATAACTCGCCGCCGGGGAACTATACTGTTCCCTCGCCGGCGGGAGGATAGCCGGGTACGACTTCCTCGGCGTCTCAGCCGCGGCAGTTTTAGATTGCGCTGCTAACTGACTACTGCTGGTGGTGCTCGCCTGCATCAAATGCTGCGAAAGCAATCTCGGATCCTTCCGCATCTGCGCCTCCATATGCTTCCTAAAGTCCCCCTCGTAGCCGTTGCAGAAGCCGAGCATGTCCTGGCGGTACGGGGAGCGGTAGGTGCCTGGGGCTTTGTTGTGCTGTTTCTGGAGGTAGGGGTATTTCTGGAAGACGTCGTTGAATTTGAAGGCGCTGGAGCTTGAGGATCGGTGGCCGTGGGGTTTTGCGGTGGGTTTTTGGAGGGGGCTGTCGTTGGGGGTTTGCTTTGCCTGTGAGGCCTGTTGATGGGTTTGTGGGCCGAGCGGAGTATGGGTATTGGCCTGTTGGAGAGGATTGGGAGTACTGAATCCACTATAATGGTTCTGCACGGCGGCTGGGGCTCGCGGTTGGGCAGGCGCGACATATGGACCCTGTCCCCTATTATCCGCAGGTGGCCATCTTGGATCCGTTCCATAGGGATAAGGCTGCGGCTGCCGGTATTGCTGGGCAGGATCTTCCGTATATGGCAGCTGCGAATTGTTAACCTGTCGATCTGCATAGTATTGTTCGACCTTGGGCTTATATACGTATGGTTTATCCGATTTAACAGATGCCCGTGGAGGCTGCGAATATGTAGGCGGTAGAATGGGTTTATACGACGTCGGCCTTGGAGGTGCTGGCCTGGAAGGATTGATGGCGCGCCCACTCGGCCGTGGATAAGAGGCCGGGTATGAAGCCCTCGGTGCCGGGGGTGGCTTGGGAATCGTCTCGAGGAAGTTGCATCTGGTATCGTAAACCGGTTTTGTCCAGTCCGCCGTATACTGTGCCTTGGCTTCCGTCGACGTCTTGCCCATATAATACATAACCTGCCTCTCTTTCGAAAGGTCGACCTTGACCTGGGCCGGGTTCCTAGGTGTGTTAAAGGCGCTGAACTCTGCCCAGGTGGCGCCCTCGACAAAGGCATCGTCCTTTCTTGGTAGGTCATCGGCGTGACGCTTGGTAGTGACGAGGGCATCCTTTGCGTGTCGTGATCTCGGCATCGGGATTGCCTTGTCGGAGGGTTTAGGTAGATGGAAGTCTGTAGGATCTGGCAGCAGAATGTACTTGTACTGAACCTCGAACCGGTCCCTGTTATGTATTAGCCACTGTACGCCCGCTTTCATACCAGGCAATTGGAATACATACCCAGAAGGTAGGATATCAACAAGAAGCACCTCCTCGCTCGTCCTATTCTCCACCACAACACCCGCGAAGATCTCCTTCTTCAAGAACTGGAACTGGCAAATCTCACCCTCCCTCACCGCCATCGCAGCCCTACTAATATCCTCATCCTCCTCCAAAACATACTCATCAAGCTTCTTATCACGCTTCGCGCGGTGGAACCGACAACTAAACTCGACCCCCCGCTGCTTGTACTCCGTTCCATCCTCGCCAAACACCGGGATCTCCCCCGTCTCGACAAACATGCCCGCAGCCGCTGCGCACGTTGCGTGGTACGACCTGGTACATTTCCGCTGCGAGCACTGGATCTTCGCACCCTTCCTGCTGTGGCAGAACATGCACTTGAGATCGAGGCGGTCCTTTCCGATCGCGGCGACGTTGTACACAATACCTTCATCGATGTCGGTTTCGGGCGTGTATTCGGCGCAGAGACGATGCACCTTACGGCCATCTTCGGTGGGAATAAGAGGTTGTGTCTTGATGTCGTTCGGGCACAGGCAACATGGCTCGTTTGAGACCTTCATGCGGATGCGAATTCGCTTTGTCCTGTCAACTCCATCCTTATCAGAAACAACACGCTTCCGCTTGCGTCGAGGCTGCTTGAGCTTTGCGTCGCCACTACTTTCCGGAGGTGTAGGAAGATCGGTCGGACCGTTATCATCTTCCTCTTCCTCCTCCTCCTCCTCATCACTTTCCTCATAATCAGTCTCCTCTCCACGCATCTTGCGCTCGATTTGCGCCACATCGATCCAGACACTGTCCTGAGCCTGGGCGCAATCGCACTTCTTCGCAATCCGGCCCATCTCCAGCCAGGATGGCATCGCAAAGTTGACAGCTTCAGCACAATTATACCCCATATTAAATCCTGAATGGTATCCGTACGGGAAGGTAATCATAAACTCCCCAGGGAAGTGCGTGATTTTGTTGGCCTTGATGCCGTAGTTCTTAAGGAGAGTAGATGGGGAGATGAGGAATGTCTTATGTCGGAGGAATTGGTCGCACTCTTTCGCATCCGTCGGCCAGATACTCTTCATAGCAGCCTCAAACTTCCTCGCGTCCCGCTGCGAAATGCTGTACCAGTGCTTGGGAGCACCGAAATGAAGGTAATTGATACTGTAGAGATCGACATCCTCCAAATGCCACGCAAAAGTAGCCTTCCACATCCCAAGGTACAGATAGGCAGTATTAACACCGGGGATCTTGGTGCCCATAACATCCAGCAAATTCGGCAGATTTCCAAGGTTCCAGGTAGTCGTCCTCTCGTCGAATAGAGAGCCCAACATATCCGCGCCATACAGCGGAGGCGCGTATGTCAAGGTCTTCCAGTAGGCGCGTTCGAGCTCTTCGCAGCGCTCAGGGGTATAGTCGGAGATGTCCATCTTGTATTCGAAGTTCTCGAATGCAGCCTCGTCGATCTTCCCAGCCGTCTCTCTGCGGCCGTACTTGCGGCGCGATGACACCGTAGTAGCCTTCCCCCCTCGTCCGCCGCGGCCACCACCACCCATGCGCTTGCGTGGTGGCTCGTCCTGCTCGAGCGGCTCCAGATTGGGTGCATCGGCGTCATCGTCTGGCTTGATGGGGGGAGAAGTTGGCGTTGGCAGTCTCTCCTTCTGGTCCTTGTCTGCGTCTTTTTGAGCCAGGCTCTTTCTTGATGCTCGCCCGTTCTTCTTCCTCGGTTGCGCAGCCACCTTCTCCCCCGCTGGTGTGCTCTCCTTCTTACCGCGACCGCTAGTCCTCGGCTTCTCCTGCGTCGCGCGAACCTCACCACGTCGCGCAGGAGGCTGATGTTCAGTCTGATCGCACAATTGGCGCCATTCCGGAAGATTGTATGCTCTCTGGTGCAGCAGGTTCATCTGGCGATACGTTCCATTCGTCCCCATGATATCCTGCTTGATCGGCTCCCGAACTCGAATCGTCTTGATAATTTCGTCCGGTTCCGGCTGGTTGTCGAGCCACTCCTGTGGGGGGACCACTTTCACAATGCCGGATTGCATGCCGTATGGGTTGATGCGACCCATCTGCGTACACGTTAGCTACAGCGTCACCTCTCGAGACGTGGCGGGGAAGCTCACATAAACCTGGAAGTCCTTAAACTGGTGCATCGTCGGTTTGAAGACTGGCACTCTCCCCTCATCCGCGTAGTGATCCGGTACCACCTCACCAATATCATCAACCTCCGGCTCCTTCTCCCCAGCAACCTCGTCGGGTTTCTTCTCATCTACACCCTCCCCAGCATCCTTCTTCTCTCCCACCTCCCTCAGCTCCCGCGCCTCCCCCATCTTAGGCAGCGCACCAATCGAATACCCCTCCTCATCCAACTCGCTAAGCTCCGAATCGCTATCCTCAAACGCCATCCGCATCTTACTGTCGGGGGGCGAGAACAGCCCCGCCGCCATCTTCGCAGCGTTGTCGTCGAGCACCGGCGCCACGCGAGCTATCACATCGGTACTCATCGCGCTGGCGTGCCTACATGCAGCCTCTCACTGTGTCGTGTGCCTGCGCTGCCGGGCGCTGCGGTCGTCGATCTGGTCGTGAAGGTGGGTGTGGGGCTGGCTGGCTCTTGGTATCGCAGTCGCAGCCGTGGTGCGTGTGTGTGTGTGTGCGATACGATAAAGTATACACAATGATTGAAGTCGTCTCCGCGCGCATTCGGGGAGTGCGTTGAGGTGTTGGCGGGGATATTGGTGATGGAAATGCGTGTGGTCGATTGAGCAAGTGGTAGTGAGAGTAAGGTACCGTGCATCTGTGGCTGTGGTTCGAGATCGGTGCAAGGCGAAGGTTTTGGGCGGCAGTGGGGCTAGGCTGGTTTGGGAATGGTAAGCGAGAGCTCTGGGAGGGGAGGGAAGATCAACTGTCATCGCGCATCTCCCTCCCCTTCCATTGAGCCTCGCCGTACCTCAACCTCAAATCCCCATCTCCCATCCTCAACACATCAGCGCATCATCTCACCCAGCTGGCGGCTGCTGCATGGGAATTCGGAATTCGGAATTCGGAAAGCGGGAAGCGGAAAGCGGAAAGCGTCATGCATCGCTCCCATCGCACCACATGCTCTAGCTCGACCCTTCCCCGCAAATGGGCGGAGGCGTCGCTTGGGCCAGGGGTCACCTTCACCCTCACCAACTCACTCACACAATCACCACAACCGCCAAATACCGTTACAATATCATTCCCATTCCCATCCCCTCTATCTAGCCTAGCTACCCACTCCCATCCCATCCCATACAATACAACCTCGCGCAGAGCCAACCTCCACGACCCCCAATCCATCGACGCCGGTGCGGGGACACAAAAAAAGCAAAAACAAAACAAATCCCATCAAATGCAAAGGACCGGCAAAAATGTCATCAACGCTCCATCTATGCGAATGCTATGCAGATTGTACATGTTTGTCCTGTAGTAGTAGTTGTAGTGGCTAGAGAGAATGAATGGTGGCCAAAAAAACATAGAGGGGTTGGAAGTACACGCGAGGTGGTATGTGGATGGTATCGGCGGTAATGTCGTTTGGCGGAATCGACGGAAGAAAGCACAGTCGTCAGGCGCCTAGGTGCAGCAAATTGCCAGAGAGTAATTTTGCAAATCCCCAAGACGTCGTCATCAAAGCACCTACGACGTCTCCTGGGGACGCGGTTCACGGTTCCCGCCGAAACGGGGAGCGCCGCGGCCACGTCCACCCTCGCCGTTACCGCGTCCACGGTACCCGCCACGGCCTCTGTATCCCTCACCACCTCTCTGGCCACGTCCACCACGGCCCTGTCCATCACGGTTACCGCGGTTGCGCTGGACCTCGTGGAATCCGTCGCCAGCAGGTGCAGCAGGGGCCGCAGCAACAGCGGCAGGGGCCTCTGGCTGCTCATCCGCCCAGCTCTGGGTATTCGGTGGCGCGGCGAGGGTAGCATCGATACCAGTCTCGGTCTCGGCCGCGTCGCGGGGAAGACGCACATCAACCCACTCCGAGGAGGCGGAGAGGTCGTTGGTGCTGTTGTTCTGGTTATCCCAGTTGGCCTCCGCGGCGGCGTTGGCGCCGTCGCCGAAGCCGGAGTTGGTGGGGAAGTCGGCGGGAGAGACGGGCTTGGAGTCGCCGTTAGTGCTCAGGTCGGCGGTGGGGACGGCGTCGATCTCGGTGAGGCCTGCGTTGGCGATGGTGGGGTCGGTGCCGACGGGGTATTCGGTGGCTACGGTGTTGTCCTCGTTGGGTTGCTCGAGCTCATGGTCGGTGGGGGTGGCGAGGAATTCGATGGCGGCTTGTTTGATTTGTGCGTCTGTTTGTCGTTATTAGCTATGGTTGTTTGGACTGGAGGTGGCAAAACTTACAGGTGGTGTTCACCTTCTCGCCGTTGATTGACAAGGCCTGTTCGTCCGATCCCTTGATGAGCTTCTCCATCGCCACGACCGCAGTCTCGTCCCCAGTGTAGACCTCGACCAGGGCGCCCTCCAATGCCTGGTTCTCATCCAAGGTTTGGTCCACATCAGCAGCCCTCCTCGCAGCGGCCAGACGAAGGAACTTCGACAGCAGGAGCAAGTTCTGTTGTTTCTCCATGAGTGCAGTGGCAACTGCCTCAGCCTTGACCGCAGCCACTGCCTCAGCCAGCTCCTTGCTGCTCTTCTCCGTCAACTCCTTCTCTATTGCGGACTTCTCGGCTTGCGCACGAGCCTTGTACTCCTGGTCGAACTTCTTGTACTGGGCGATCTGCTCCTCGAGTTGGGCGAGGGAGGCGTGGAGGGAAGGCTTCTTCAGGATCTGTGCCTTTTGGTCGGCGTTGATCTTGCGGGTGGCTACCAGTTCGTCGAGGGTCTTTCCGGGGTTTTGTTCGAGGACATTGTCGACCTTAGAGGCGTTTGCCTGTGAGGTTACGGGTTAGATCGGTGCGGCTTTCAGAGTAGAACTACAGGAACTTACAATCTTCTTGTTGACATTTCGGATGCTCCTGATGAAAGTGTTAGTTTCTGCATGCATTTATGGGATGATGGTATAGCTTTATGGGAGGTGGGAAAGAAACTGAGGTGAATTCAAGTGCGCTTACTTGTAAAGCTCCTTGATGTATGGGCTCTCGTAGGATCCGTCACCATTGGTGCTCTCAGCAGGTGTAGCAGTCTCAACATGTGTAACAGATGCTACAGCGGCAGCATCGGCCTTGGCCTTCTTCTTCTTCGCGGATTTGGACTCTGAGCGGACTTCTGGGTTTTGGATTGCGGAGGTGGCCATTGTGTCTACAAGGCTGAGACGAAAGTGTACAAGGTTGTGAGGTTTTGTCGGGTGTTGTGAAAGGAGTGGTGTTTTGAATTGTACAATAACAGAACTGAAATGTGTATTTCGGATCGGTGATACTTTGTTCTAGGAAAGTTTTGAGGAAGTTGACGAGTAAATCAGGGTGCAAGTTGTTTGTATTTCAGGATTTTGAAGGGTCATAGATCTAGTTGCTTCCGTTTTACCCCAGACTTTCTGGAATGCACTAGTCCACATTCGATCACGACCAACAAAGAGATCAACGAAATAGGAACGGATGAGATTCAGCAATGGATAAATTAAGGAGATATTTTATGATATAGCTATTATTTTACATTGAGGGATATTATTTCTACACGTTGTTCCTGACGTTTACGTATTCTATCGCGTTGTTCCTGACGTTTACGTATTATATCGCGTTGTTAGACGTCGTGTGTACCTTGCCATGTCATCGATCGAAGCCAACGATGGCGAATTGTGTTACCAAAATGGTGTCCCAATAACTAATCCATCATAATTTGGTCGTAAACAAACATCCAGTCTATGCTGGTTCCTTTCAATGCCTGGGTATCCTTTCGCCATTGTCCCCATAATAGTCAATATTATGCCCCTCCTCCATTCCCACCAGTTTGTCCCCGTCGCGTGCAGCGTCTCAGCCCTTGAATTTGTGAAGCGTCGTCTGATGCGTGTTAGCTACTGAGTCCCTAGTATCGGAGATGAAGGGTAGCCGTGCCTCTGTGACCTTGTTCACGTTCTTCGCCGTGATGCCGCGATCGCCTGCCTGCTTCGCATTGATGCCAGCTTCCTTCACCAACCTTCCATGAGTGTCAGTTGCAGTTTTCCGACAATAGATGACAGACGGGTAATCACTAACGTCTGTAAGAAGAGCGCATAGTCGAGAAAGACCTTGAGGGGGCAACAGTTAGCTATGACAGCACTTTCACAACCAGACAGCCGCGGTCGCGTGGCTTACCAGCACATCAGCATTCTTGCTCACGTTCTTCCTCGAGTGAGCCTTGACAATCTTCTTGAGCGTCGCTCTTGGATATAACTTCTGGCCAGCCGCCGCCATCTTTGATCAGGCTGGATGGTAATTGTCTTGCGGAAACCGTCGGAAGCACGGGATGATTGATGATAGTGGACTCTTTTCGGCGGTGTTGGTCGTGTTTACTGTTAACTCACAACGTTCCATCGCAGCAAGTGGGGCCTCGACCCTCAGCCTCGTCCTTTTAGGTCACTAGTTACGGAAAGCGGCCGCACCAACAGCCAATCGGAACGGATAAACAGCTTCTCGGATACCGTACTACCACATCCCACTATCCAACCTGCGGAGCCTTGTGAAGGAAAGGGAAGGAGGGAAAGGAGGGAGACAAATATTGAACTTGCCAGCTTCCTATTTCCACTATTGGCGGTAATCCTTTCTCCCAACTGCCGCCTTCGGATATCGCACGTGATAATTAATATTTTATGTAAAACGGGGAAGGAGGAGGAGACCCGGAGATATAGATAGTCCAGAAGGACCCCCCCCCCCCCCCCCCCCATTCCTGAATTTGGAGATCCCTCAATTCCAACTCCAAATTTCAACTATACCCAGGCAAACCCCCCCTCTTCAATCAACATGGCGGACACAAGCCCAGCGAGTTATAAAGACGTGCTGCCAGATTCCATCAAGCCTACGAATTATGCCATCTCCCTCTCCGACATTGCTCCCGGCGGTGCCTTCACCTACCAGGGAACCGTCAGCATCTCGGCCAAGATCCTGAAGCCCACGAGGAGCATCACCCTCAACTCCATTGAACTCAAGGTTCACAGCGCCGAAGTCGTCGTCAACAACGACAAGACCCAGCAAACTACTCCAAACATCGATGCCACCTACGATGTGCCCAAGCAACGAGTCACTCTCGATTTTGCCGGAGATCTGCCAGCCTCGGACGATGCCGTTATTGTCATCAAGTTCGAGGGCATCCTCAACGACAACATGGCTGGCTTTTACCGCTCAAAGTATAACCCAGTTGTGCCGGCTGCTGCTTCCGTCGCCAGAGACGCCGATAACCACTACATGTTCAGCACTCAGTTCGAGTCTTGCGATGCTCGCCGCGCATTCCCCTGCTTTGATGAGCCAAACCTCAAAGCCACATTCGACGTCGAGATCGAGCTCCCAGAAGACCAGGTCGTCCTGAGCAACATGCCAGAGAAGTCTGTCAAGAAGGGCAAGACGGAAGGACTTAAAGTTGTTGCTTTTGAGCGTACTCCTATCATGAGCACATACCTGCTTGCATGGGCTGTAGGAGATTTCGAATATGTCGAGGCCTTCACTGAGCGGAAGTATAACGGAAATAACTTGCCCGTTCGCGTCTATACCACAAAGGGCCTTAAGGAGCAGGGCAGCTACGCTCTTGAGCATGCTCACCAGATTATCGACTACTTCTCCGAGATATTCGGAATCGACTACCCATTACCAAAGGCTGATTTGTTGGCCGTGCACGAATTCGTAGGTCGTCTCCTCTCACAGTTCTGTGCTTTTTTCTCTAACCAGTTTGTCAGACTGCAATATGTACCCCCCATTTATTTTCATCCCTGCCCAGCATTTCATGTATAAGAACCAAGCTGACCATGGTTGCTAGTCTCACGGTGCGATGGAGAATTGGGGTCTCGTAACATACAGAACTACGGCCGTTCTCTTTGATGAGAAGACCTCGGATGCAAAGTACAAGAACAGGGTGGCGTATGTCGTTGCACACGAGCTTGCCCATCAATGGTTTGGCAACCTTGTAAGTTGGAGTTAACCATTGTCGTGGTTGAGGAATTAAATTTAACGTGCATGATAGGTCACAATGGACTGGTGGAGCGAGCTGTGGCTCAATGAAGGTTTTGCTACCTGGGTCGGCTGGTTAGCTACCGACAAGCTTCACCCAGAGTGGAATGTTTGGCCACAATTTGTCCAAGAGGGCATGCAAACTGCTTTCGGTTTGGATTCTCTCCGAAGCTCCCACCCTATCGAGGTGCCTGTTAAGGACGCTCTTGATGTCGATCAAATCTTCGACCACATCAGCTACCTCAAGGGCAGCTCCGTTATCCGCATGCTGGCATCTCACCTAGGACAAGAGAAGTTCCTGGCAGGTGTCGGGAACTACTTGAGGGCCCATGCATATGGCAATGCTACAACTAACGATTTGTGGTCTGCTTTGAGCGAGGTCTCTGGCCAGGATGTTCCTAAGCTTATGGACCCATGGATCCGTGATATCGGATATCCTGTCGTCACTGTTTCCGAAGAGCCAGGTCAGATTTCCGTAACCCAGTCCCGCTGCCTCTCAACAGGAGATGTCAAGCCCGAAGACGACAAGACAACCTGGTGGGTCCCGCTTGGCCTGAAGAGCAAGTCAGGTTCGAAAGCGATATCCTTCAACACCAAGAAGGAGACGATCCCCGACATCGATGACAGCTTCTATAAGCTCAACGACGAATACGCAGGGTTCTACCGCACTAACTACCCAGCCTCCCGCCTTGCTACCCTCAGCAAGCAGCTTGACCTCCTCTCGATCAACGATAAGATCAACCTTATCGGTGACGCTGGCGCTTTGGCTCGTTCAGGCGATGCCCAGACTGCTCCTCTTCTGTCCCTCATTGAAGGTTTCTCTGCCGAGACCAACTACCTGGTTTGGTCCCAGGTCATCTCTTCCCTGGCCACCGTGAAATCGGTTTTCAGCGAAGATGAGAACATCTCCAATGCCCTCAAGAAGTTCACCCTGAAGCTTATCAAGCCCACCGTCACCAAGCTTGGCTGGACCTTCGCTCCTGATGAGGACCACCTCACAGGCCAGCTGCGCGCCTTGCTCATCCACTCTGCAGGCCTCAACGGTGACGGAGACGTGATCAAAGAGGCCCAGCGCCAGTTCTACGCCTACGCTGTCGGCGACGCTTCAGCCATCCACAACTCCCTCCGCAGCGCCGTCTTCCAGATCAACGTCAAGTACGGCGGCCGCGCCGCCTACAACGCCGTCAAGGCCGAATGGGCAAACACCACCTCCATTGACGGAAAGGAGACCTCTCTCCGCGCCCTCGGCCGCATCGAGGATATCAAGAACGCCGAGGACGAGGACCCGCTCGCGCCCAACTTGCTCAAGGACCTCCTTGACTTCATGGCCTCTGGCGTCCCAACACAGGACGTGCACACCCCCGCTGCGACGCTCGGCGTTAACCCAAAGACCCGCCTCGGCCTGTGGACTTACATCAAGGAGAACTGGGAGCCGCTGCGTGAGCGCCTGGGCAAGAACATGGTTGTGCTTGACCGCTTCTTGAAGCTTTCGCTGCAGAACTTCTCGGATCTCGAGACGGAGGCTGATATCGCAGCGTTCTTTGCCGAGAAGGATAACAGGGGTTATGACCGCACGCTGGGTGTGGTCAGCGATAGCATTAAGGGCAGGGCCAGCTATAGGCTCAGGGATGCGGAGCCATTGCTTGAGTGGCTCAAGGCGAACCAATATGCTTAGACATTAGATGGTTGGAGTGGAGGGAATGGTAGCTTATAATTACAAGAGTATTAGCTGGAATGGATGGTATCGTAGCTCATGATTACAAGAAGGTTGGCTGGAATGGTAGCTTATGATTACAAGATTAGCTAGAACTGTAGCTAATAACTATAGCAGATTGAAGGACACCTTTATCACACTGCAATACCAACTCTGGAATTTGTGCTTGCCCATCAGCGCTTTTCATTCCAACTTCGGGCTGCCTGAAAACCTGTGGTGTTCCGATCAAGCTTCCACCAAGCTTGATACCCTTCACGATAAGATAGAAGGCGTTGATGGGTGGCAAGACATCCTCAGGTGCGCCGACCTGGATGAAATGTCCCTTTGGCGCGAGGAGCGCCAGATACTCCGACAGTGGCATATTCGGCGACGAAACAGTCGAGATAATCAGATCTAGCGTGCCTGCGTTCTTCTTCGCCCAGTTCTCATCCTCCGTCGCAATAAACCCCGTCGCTCCCATCATCTCCGCATCCGCCTTCTTCGCCGAAGTCCTCGAAATAGCAACCACCTTCTCTTCATGTTGCCTTCGGCGGCGGAGGCGTCGTGGCCGAGCCAGCCATTGAATTCGGGTTGTGGTACCATTTTGACAGGAGGTATATTAGGATTTAAGGATGATAAGAGGTATGAGCATGATGAGATTGTGTGTATGAGAGTGTTGAAGAGGACTATTTGGTGGGCAATTTGAGAGATTCTTCCTACCTATATATACAAATGAGAATGTAGGAGAAGGAATGAAATAGAAGCACGAATTTCACTTTCTTCCCGATATCCTACCGCTTGATTCTTGGTTCTTCTCCATTATTGCTTGGTAAAGTTTATTTCCGTCCTCTTGTCGCCGGGCACTATCTCCAAGACCGCGGCAGTTGCAAGATTTCGTTCCATTTCCAAGACGGTGGAGCCGCAGTGTGTCGCCGCCTACCCGCCTACGTCAATCTCCCTTAGTTGCTTATAAATACAACAGGCAAGGACATCGGCAGCTGGCGGTACGGAAATAACAGGGCGGCACATAGATCCGAGATGCATGGAAAAGACCTCGGTCGTTAGAAAAACTGGAGATGCGCCAAAATTCCAGATTCAACCCAAGACATAAGACATGGACGTAAGGCACGGCGGATGTGGTTGGCTGGCCCGCGGCGCCACAGGGGTTTAAGCCACATGGTTAAAGTGTTTAATAATGTAGATATATTACACTTCGTGCTACAATCTGCGCTGGGCTACGGTTTATATCATCACCACTAAACCCCCCCCTCATCCACTCCCACCTCCCCCTGTTGTGCTCTTTTGTGCTCTCTACTCTTTTGTGCTCTCTACTCTTTTGTGCTCTCTACTCTTTTGTGCTCTCTACTCTTTTGTGCTCTCTACTCTTTTGTGTGAAAGAGGGGGGGGGTTGGGCTGTCAAGTCAGTCCTACTCCAGCTGAGCCGAGGTGGGTGGTTGGATTACTATCGCGACGTGGCTGGATGATAAGACCTGAGGGGGGGGATCTGCAGGACAGTGACTGAGCGGTTTGGAATAGCGTATAGGCACTGTTGTCAGCCAAGTGGGTTTATAGAAACTAGGAATGAAATCGGATTCTTGATTACTTTGAAATTACGGTTTGGCGAAGATTCAGAAGAAGAAAATGAAGCTCGAGATATTCAAAGTTTAGGTGGTGGAATATCTACAGGCTCGATGCGAGCAATGTTGCGCAGATTTGGCGCTACTGGAGCTAGAAGTGCGCGGATTCTCAAAGGTGAGGCTGAATGCGCTTAAAGTGCGTAGGTTCTCAAAAGTAACGCTGAATGCGCTAGAAGTGCGCAGAATTCTCAAAAATGAAGCTTAAGATATTTTACAAGCTCGATGCGATCAATCTTGGGCGGATTTTTCAAAAAATGAAGCTCGGGATATTCACAATTTGGGTAGGCTTAACATAGTCCCAAAACTCTACCTCAGGATCCAGTCATATCACTCAGTCACTCAAATGAATCAGTAAAATCACTCAACAATAATATTGAATTTCCATTCGCTATGCACCTCCTCCCTTCAGAAACGAAAAAATAAAAACAATTCACTGCAAAAACCTCGTCCTCTAAAACTACATAACATCCATGCACGCATAACCGTCATTACTACATAATCCCCTCGCCACCCGGCGCACCCATCCCCAGTCCGACCCCCCAGCTCTTGCAAAAGACGGTGAATATACGAAATGACTTGGTATCGAGGCGTGGAAAACGTGTGGCGCGTGGAGATAAAAAGGTATGGCCGGAGGCATTCAAGCCCATGTGGCTCGTAGAGTGTGCATGCGGAGACATTATACGGCTTTTATCCGAGTTCGTTGCGTGAGAAAAATATAATAACAGGTGTGTAAATGACCAGCTCAAAGGGCATGGCCGGTGAAAGAAGTAAATGTTGGTGAAAGTTGATAAGAAGAGCAGCCGGTTTAGGGACGACGCAATTTTCAGCGCCCTCGACAGACCGCAAGCAAGTATATAACTATGCCCATGCCCAAAGTTTTGTAATCGCCTGAAATCCTGTAGCAGATAGCTAGAGTACTCCAAAGATCTAGAACAAAATGCATGATGCCTGCTAGGTGGTCTTTTATCAAGTTTCGTAAAATGTGGCCATTTATCGTAGTTCTCGGAGGCAAAAATTTGCTTCAAATACTAAGCCAGGTTGGAGTGAGGCCAAAGAAAGCCATTAGAAGTTTCGCTGCATGTTTTCCATGATGCGAGTGGTAACTGTGACGAGGGTATGGAGGCGCTTGAGAAGAGGGTCATGGGCCGACGCTTGGCTGACACGCATGAAAAGGTGCTCGAAGCGATCCTTCAGGAGCTCCATAAGAGTTGCACAAGGTTTCACGACATCCTAGAAAACGGTTAGCTTTGTCTACATGTATATTAGGCATCGGTTGAACTTACGGGGTCAATCTCTTCAGGCGCGAACGACTGGTAGATCTGCAAGATCGTCTCCAGCCATTGGATGCGCTCCATGAGCGATGGGCTGTCGAATCGCTGCGAGATTGTCGCCGCCGTCGATAGGCTCAGAATTGGTGACACTTCGCGCATGAAACCCGGATCGTACTTGGAGAAATAGTTATCAAAGATGTCCTGCATAACCTGGCCGTTGTTGAGCTTGATCCAAGTCATCATGGCAGTCTCGAATTCTCCGTCGCTCATCAGATGTCCGATTGACTGGAGGCTTTGCTCGTACAGCTGGCTGTCAGAGTCAAACTGCTCCAAGTTCGAAACCGGAGATCCCTGCGAACGAGAGGTAACTGCTGCCTCTGGGATCGATCTTTGAGATTCTGTTGTTTGCTCAATGTTTGACTGGGGCGCGCTATTGCTGCCTCTCAAAACAGCAGCTTGGAAACCTTCTTGGGCTGAGGCCATCGTAGATATCATCTCAGTCAACCCCTCAATAACCTTCGACAGCTTCGAAATCTCCTCGCTGTCTGACTGGCGCTGCCTCTCCAAATTGTTGATACGGTCTGAAACTGTGCGCTGGATATCAACGACACTCTTTTGTGCAGATCTGGCAGCAAGTGCATTGATAGACGGGACGATTTCATTCTTCATAACCTTAGCGAAATTCTCTTCAACCTTGAACGCAACCTTCTGCACAACAGCCGATGAAATTGATTCAGTGAGAGACACCGCAAGAGTGCTTGAAATAGAGTCCGTCATGGATCTCGAAAGATTTCTCAAGAAGTCAGGCTTCTCGAGGGCCTTTCCGAGTGTTCCTGGTAGAACGGCCTGAAGCTCCTTCGAGACAGAGGCTTGCACCAAGACGCCAAGTTTGGCAGACAAGTGGTCGTGAACGTTCTTGGAGACAGCCTTGGAGACGGAATCCGTGATGGAAGGAAGAAGGATCTTCTTTGTGTTCGTCTCTACGATCGAGCCCAAAGTTTTGTCAACGTTCTCGCCAAGTGTGCTAGAGACGAGGCGAAGAAGAGCGACTTGCTTCTCTTCTGCCGCTGCAGCCTGGGCCGTTTTATCGGTGTCGAAGCTTTGGTAAATCTTGTCGATTGAGGAATTAAGCTGGCGTGCCATATCAGAGATACTGGCATCAACCATCTTCAGCGCCTTGTTGATCTGATCTTGAGAGACAACGCCAACCACTGCATCAGAAGTTCCGTTGGCGATGACCTTGCTTGCTGCAGATGAGGATTCAGATACAGCATCAAGTTGGCGAGCTGCCGCAGCAGCGGCCTTCTTCTTCTTCTTCTTTTCGACCTTCTCAGTTCCGCTTGTCTCTTGGCCTCCGTTGGTGAGGTTTTGAACCTGTTCAGCTTTCTTAGCTGGTGTTCCAGGTACAGCTGCAGGCTGCTCGGCATGATTGTTTACCGCAGCCGCCTTTCGTCCGGTTTCCTTTGCCATTGTGAGGACCTTTGGAGTAACCGGTGCTGATGAAGTAGTTGCCGTGGATACAGACGACACACTAGGTTCTCTTGGGGCAGGTGACTCAATTGGCTTCAATTCACTAACAGTGATGAGACCTTCGTCGACAGCTGATGCAGGGTTCACAGCTCTGTTGTTTGAGTCCCAGCCAAGAGTTTCGGGTTTAACCGAAATGCACGTTACGCCAGTAGAGTGCATAGCATAGAGCTCGAATAGAGTTGTATCTGGCTTCGCTGGGTTGAGTGTTGCTGTGGGTTGCAAGATATCCAAGCTCCGAAGGTCACCTCGAGCTCGCTTATCAGATCCTTCCTTTGTTTCAAGACTCTCAGAGAATAGGTACTCGCGAATACCACTCATAACAGCTGTGGATTCAGGGCTTGGAAGCGTCGTATCTTTCTTCACAAGCTTCTCAATAAATTCAGATTGAGAAAGCGACTTGGGGAGGTTGTATTTTGGCGCTGACACGTGGATGAAATAGATCGAATTTCTTGTTGGGTGTCCGACGACAATTACGCCAGTAGCGGCGTGGTAAACAACACTACAAGCGGCGTCTGACTCTTTGTCGTGTGGCAGGTGCAGTTCTTGCACCGGCTTGCCTAATGCAAGATCCCACAGTTGCAGCGTATGGTTCTGCTTCATGCCAACAATCAAATATCTCAAGGCACAGCCTTTCAAGTACGGGCGCACCTTGTCAACAAAAATGACAGAAGTAGGCCAGGACTTCTCGGTAGCCGGAGTTGTAATTAATGTCATCAGCGGCTCCTTCGTTTCGATCGACTGGTTTTTGGGTTGGTTTTCAGAAGTGAGTCCACGGACATCCCAGAATTTAACCCTGCCAGCCTTATCCAACGACACGACAGTAGTATCGTCCTGACTGAAAGTGAAGTCCTTGGCAGCCTTTCCGGTATCAATCTTCGGCGTCCGCTGGCTGAGATATTTCTCGATATCGACAAAACGATCAGGGCCGGGTTGTATGAATCCGCCCCCAGTGATCAAATAGGGGAATATGATGTGAATCGATTTTCCACGACCAACAGCAAAGAATTCAGGGTGTACAGAGCTCTTTCTAGCTCTGGTCTTCAGAACACCACCTGGGTTCTCATCACCAGGTGACTGAATTGGTGGCAAAGCAAAGCTAGTCTTAGCATTGAACTCTTCGATCTTATCTCCGCCAGTGTCTTTAACTGCGGCCCAGTAAACTGTACCGCTGCATCCTGTGCCAATGACCGCCTCAGATCCATCTCTGTTTGAGGTTGATGCTGAGATGTTGAATACTTGATCTCGAGTCTCGTCGAAGATCTTCCTGTCCCGGCCACTATCCTGACGAATAATGCGTATGCCTCCATTCTTGGACATAGCAAAGACAATGAAGTTGTTGGTAGCAGTGACCAAAGTTCTATCATTTTGATCAAAGACCTTTCTTAGCCTAGCAATGGCCATAGCTGATTCTGGGTCGAACGTGGGACGGTCCACTTTGCTGTCTGATTGCAAAGTAATGGCAACCCACGGCTTCAGTGGGAAATTGTAAATTTTGATATTCTTCCCAGAATCCTTCTGATCTGCTGGATTAAGTGTCACAGAATCGGCATCAACGCTCTCCCAGCTATCGACAACAGAATCTTGGACTGTGTTGCTGACAACTGATTTGACAGCGGTCGATTTGAGAGAATCTTGAGACTTAGTGCTTCCATCTTTCAGGAAATCTTGCTTTTCGATGAGAGATGCTAGTTTATCCACGCTGTCGTCCGCAGCAGCAGCAGCTTTGGCAGCTACAGAGTCGTCGGGGCCAAGGGATTCCGCGGCGCTACTAACAGCACGAGCCAATGCCTCGCTCACTTCCTTGTCGGCCTGGTTTCCAGCCTCGTTTAAAGCTTGTGCCACAGTCTCTGTAGGCTGTTTGGTCGAGCCAATTCCAAATACTTTTTGAACGTCAGACGGTCCAGGTGCGGTTGGTACCGTTTCTGTGGAGCCAAGTTTTCTCTTGGCGTGAGCAGGGCTGGGAACAGATGGTGACTGATCGTGCTCCTTTCGCTTCTGGTCCAAAGTCTCGCCAGTAGTGTGTCTGGGAGGTTTCAAAATTTGTACCGGGGCTTTCGCAGTAGCTTGTTGGGCAGTCGCAGTAGGGACCGGTGTGCGATTGCGCGGCGAAGATGCGGCCAACTGCTCGAACGGGTTGACATAGTTGAAAAGAGTTTTGGTATTCTTAATCGGCTCCTGCGCAACCTGCGGTTGGGTGGTAGGGCTAACTTCGTCCGTAAAGACATCCTTCGTCGCCTTTGTCGTATCAATCACATCTTTTGGAGCAACCTTCTCAGTCGCTGTATTCTCGCCAAAAGATCTTTTAACCTTTGCAGGAGTAATCACAGGCTTGTTGTCAGACTGTGCTGGCTTTGGTCGGTTCAAAAGCTGAAGAAGGTATGCCTGTGTATCTGCGGGTGTGTCTGGAATTTCAGACGCGAAGGTAGGCTCGCGAGTAAACTGAGTTTGTGGCGCAGATGGAATTCTCTTGTTTTCCTGATTGCCTACAGAGCCCATAAGTGTGGCGAGTAGATCCGCGGTGCCCCGGTTATCTGCGGCTGGCTGTGTTTGGTGCAGAGATACTGGAGGTGGCGAAATTGGCATCGCGTTTTCTGGAGAAGATGCAGCAGGCTGGCTGAACTTCAGTAGGTTCAAGAGGTTCGCGGTTCGGTCTGCGTTGCTGGCACTGGCATTGTTCAGGATGGCCATTGGCCTCGATGGACCAGTCTCCGACACCGGACGCATGACACCTGACGAGTGGTGAGGAGGCTGGTTATGGTAGATCGGTGGAGTCGGCATAGCTGACGAGACAGAAGGGTGATGATACCCATGAAGGTGTGAAGCTTGCGGTTGGGCGTAGTATGGGTTTGATTGCGATGCCAACTGTTGGGAAGCAATCTGGGTCAGGAAGCTCGAGCCTGGAGCCTGTGGCGTTGGTGTCGAGCCAGAGCCTGCATTTCGTTGACGGAGCTGTGCAATTAATGACTCCATACCGCCACACTCTGGGCTATCGAAGCCGCTTGGATTGTTGGAATAACCTGCCATGGTGGGCCAAAGTGATTCGATTGGGGCGCAAAACGCGCAAATGAAGGATGAAGGTTGGACAAAATCGCAAAACAAGTGTTGTTCTTGGATAAATATCCGTTGAATGGTCGGTAGGCAGGGTCTAGAATAATCACACAAAACAATTGAAGCTGTTCAACTGGTAGGCTCTATCTGGCAACTAAGGGAAGATATCTTTGTGCAGAAATAGCTTGTTGGATCAAACAGCTTGGTTGGTTTATGGTTTGTGGTTTTGGAGCTTGAGCCCAATGATGATATTTCTGCGGTCCAGTAAAGGAGCACAGACCACAAGGTGCTCTTAGCCGAATTTAACCAACAGCAACTCTGATTGGCAGGGGAGATACGGCCGAGAGACACTGTGGTCAGCCTTGGGGCTCTCTGATGCATCATAGGCCCTTCGTCATAACCTTGTCTTTTTCGAAGTAATACGCACTCTATCTACCTTCCAGCCTGACAACATAGCTACAGCGACTCCGATTATTCTACTGCGAAAAGAAGGCAACAGACTACACCAGAACTGCGGATTTTGAGAGGTGTGGCGGTTACTCTTGCTTGATCCAAGGTGGAGACTACTCCAGCCTTGCCTTCGACGACGGTCATCGCTCAATAATTACCACCCCCGCGCAAAACAGACTCTGAATGCTTGCCTAACCATACAATACTGCATGCAGCTGTAGACCCTTTAAGAAGACGTCTCTCACAAGATGTTTTGTCTGCGGAGGTACGATCCTCTCTACCCCTCTTTCCGTTTGCCGGGACTGCACCTAACATGATGCACAGCTGGCTGCCCCTCCTCTTTATCCCAACGAACGCGTCGCCGATCTTCATATTCCTCTTCTTCGCCTGCACATACTTCCTCAACAGGCCCTGTGTCTACTGCTCCTTCCTGCTCCTGATTCTCTTCGCCTCATCATGCAACTGGGCGGACCAATGTTTCTTCGACTTCTCCTCGAACTGGTTTGAGGCGCGGCCTTTACCAGAACTACTCGGTTGTGACGGCAATCTTACCTGCCAGGCATTCAATAACACGTCGATACCGGGTAACACTTTCGAGCAAGCCGTGATGATGGCAGGGTCGATGAACAGCACGGCGAAGACACTCGGTGGCGTGGTATTCCAAGAGCTTCAGAGGCGACTCCCAGATCGGACAGAGTGGACAGGCATTGGTGTTGGCTGGCTAAGGAGTCTTTTGGGCCGAAGGGAATGGACCCTTCCGTGCGTGGATGTCAATGTTAGGCTATGACCAGAGTGCGATCATTATTCGCGTTATGAGATACGACGGCTGGGGGGGCGTTCTAGGTCACGATGGGATGCAAATGATTATCCAAGGAGAGATGGCCCTCGCTGGCCATTTCAGAGTATAATGTATATTCGGGGTTGAAGTGTAACTACTATGGAAGTCCTACTCGTACATAGAGACCCAATCCAGGGGTCGCGATTCTGAAATAAATATCAAAATCGTTGCTGGTGACGCTTGACAATACATATTCTCTTGTTAAGGGGCATAATACCACTACTGATAAAACTCCTGTGTAATACATGTCAAGAACCGTATCGTGGGAGTTTGTAGCATTGGTTAATTAATCATGCTGATATAACTTATTCAAATTTATTTAGTTAAGCTACTTTCTAATAAATAATCACGTTTAATTCACTACTTTTATTCATAAATCACCACAAACAGTAGTATTAGTGTTAATTAAATCAAATAAATGCCATTCTATTGAATAAGAAATCTGAATATGCTGTTGAAAAAGGGCTTTGGGTCTGAGAATCTGGTGCGAGTACGTACAGTATGACCTGCATGTAACAAGCATGGATGCACACCCATACAAAAACCTAGAAAATCCGGTAAGGGATAATTCATATATAAACTGGGATCGTATACAACGAACCCTCAATATAACAGAACACTTCAACTCCTCACTGATCCTTTTTTTGAGTTCGGCATAAACAAAGTTCCACTATAATGGCTCCGGCGGCTCACGTCTTCCTAAAGGCTTGAGCCGTCTGTATCCACAATATAGACGCATACCTCGGTAAATCACGAGCTGGCGGAAGCTATTATGTGGCGATGGAGCAAGTACGGACGGAGGCTGGAATACTCCTTTCTAATATATTATATTCCTTTACTGTTATTATTAGGTCGCATTTGACGGATTGTCAAAGGAATTGAGCTGCAGAGTGTATATCAGGTGCAATGGCGGCAACTTCGGAGGCAGAACGTGCCAGGGCCATGACGGCGATCCAGAGCGTTTTTGACCGGTATGTAACCTATTTACTCGCTTTATATCGGCGTTGGTCGCGTGATTTTCATATGGATTATGGCTTTTATTCTGTAGTATCTGTTGGTGGTAGGAAGAGGGATGTTTGCAAGACAATTTTATTATTATTTCTGAACGGTTACTATAAGTTAACCGTCTCTTATATCAAACTTGCCCCTTCACTTTGCCGCCCCGTCACCCCCAAAGCCCACAAGTCCAAAGCCCCTTTATACTTACCACAATTCTAGGTTCCACCTCATATCTGCCGACGCGCCTGTAAAATACTTCGATGACCAGGTTATGCGTGACGCAAAGGTCATCGATGGCTCCCCTGACGGACGTGCCTCGTTCGAGATACGCATTACGCCGTACTACGGTAACATCAACGGCGTTTTACACGGTGGCGCCGCGGGGGTCATATTTGATATGCTGACCACGCCGGCATTGGCGCCGTTATCTAGACCTGACTACTGGGAGTAAGTTTCAACCACCCCTGATGACTTCCATTCTTCGGTTGTGAAGCTTCATTTTCATAATGAACTGTTGTCTGAAGAAAAGAGCTAGAGAGGTTTATCATACGTCAATGCTAACTCCCTATCAGTTTCTTGGGAGGTGTGACACGCTGTCTGAACATCTCCTTCCTCTGCGGCGTCCCCATAGACACCGTCGTCCGCGTCAACAGCAAAGTAACACAGGTCGGCCGGACTATGGCCATGATCCAAAGCGAGATGGTCAGTCTAGATGGGAAGATCACATATTGCACAGCGGAGAACCACAAGGTTAGCGTGGCTACGCCGGCGCACCACCTCAGTGAGAAGTATGAGGTTGAGTGGGATCGCGTGATGAAGGCGGAGGGCAAGATGCCGAACGGGCTGTGGACTCCGAAGAAGGTGAAGGGGAAGTTATAAGGGTAGCGATGCAGATAATAGTGAAATGTATATAAGAGCACATAGACAGTATAGGCATAGAGTACATATCTCAGCATTGGGTATCCTAATTTTAACCGTATCCACCTTATAATGCATTTTTCGCCGCCTCGGCCGCCTCTTTCTTCGCCTTATTCATCTCATCAAAAATCCTCTTTTTTTCTCTATACACGTACAAATCCCTTTTGAGCGCCTCCTCCGCAGCCTTAGCCCCCGCCTCTTTCTTGCCCAGAGCAGTGCCGCTTCCGAGCAGCTTATTCTTCTCACCCCATCCTTCTAAGTACACGCCCACTGTGTAAAGCGGGAATCCCGTCACTGGGTCCTTTCCGGGGGTGTCCGCATCTTTGTAGAGAAGCTTAATCCCGCGACTAACGATCTGCGTTGCTAGTTCCTGTTTGGCGCTCGTGGTCGCAACGACGGGGGGGCCGGTTTTTTGCAACGTCTTGTTGACTTCGTCTTGCTCGAGAATCTCCTTGGAGAGCGTGTCCGCCCATAGCGCCTTTAACCAGTTCGAGGCCTTTTCGACGCCATTCTTGGGATCGGAATAAATCACTGCTGCGACGTACGCCTCGAAGACATCACCCAAGATCTTGGTCTGTGGAGTCTTTGCCGCAAAGTCTTTGGGGATTTGGTAGCGCTTCTCAAAGCCATACTGCCGGGCGTATGATGCCAACGTCTCATTCTTCAGACAGAGCTCACGCAGCTGTGCACAGCGGCCGGGTTGGAGGGCGGGGAAGGTCTTGGAGATTAGGAGAGTCGTAAGGAGGTAGATGTAAGCGTCACCTACCCACTCAAGACGCTCATACGAGTCTTGGGGACCTGCGTTGGTGGGGAGGGCGCCGGAATGGGTGAAAGCTGATTTTTCGAGGGCGGGTGAGAGGATAGGTGGGAGGTCAGGGAGCCCACTGGGAATCGAAGCTCCTGTCCAGGGGGCGATATTTTGGGGCGGCGTGACTTCGGCGGAGGTTTTCTTGGGCAATGCGTCTTCTGCTTGGGTGGCGATTTTTGCCTTGGAGGGCGCCTTCTTTGGTTTGGGAAGCTCAAGTTGTAGAGCCTTGCAACGAGCTAAGCCAATCCTGTTAAGAGTGCCGCTGCTCAGGATAGCTTCTTCCGACTTGAGAACAGCGTTGAGGGCAAACGATAGATTGGCGACTAAATCGGCATTCTCATTGACTGCTGGTGCTTGGGCTTCATTAGATGATGCGTCTACCTTCTTAGAGCCATCCTTTTGAATTCCACGAGCAAGTTTGCTGCTTTCATGACCCTGTAAATTATATTAGAAAGATATTGCCTGGATACTTGGTAAAGAGACGCACCTGTTGTGTTTTCCCAGAGCCAGGTTCAACAAAATCCGAATGAGATCTTTTAGCCATTTCGGCGTGTTTGTGATTGCTATATATGCACGATGCTGTTTGTATTGAAGAGAGTGGTATTTCTTTAAAGCATCACGTGAATGACAATTATCGAGAGAAATATCGGAGAAATATTGTACCGATGTATCAATGTTGTCGCGCGCTAGCCTATTCAGGTTGAACTTTTTGACGTCCCTCCCCGAGGCCAGGAGAGCTTGACCAGACCTCCCCCAAGAACATCATCAACCATGTCGGTCGCACGGTCGAGAGTTATAGATCTCATGAAGGTACGTTCAAAAATACAATAGGGGCATTGCTTTTACTGACGCGATTGGCACTACAGACGAGATGCAGGATCTTTTCGACAACCTTTAATCCCGAGGGAGTACGAACCGGTAACAAGATTCTGCGACAGCGACTAAAGGGCCCAGCGCTGGCAGCATATTATCCGCGGAAAGTTGTCACTATAAACGATCTCCGAAAGGCATACCCAGAGCTGAAGACGTGGGACGAGAAGGAGGAGGACCGACTGGAGAGTGTTGCCATTACCAAGGCGCGTGGAAAGGGCCCGCCAAAGAAGAAGCGCACGGCAGCAGGTAAGCCCAGACAGCGCCAATATGTTTTATCTAGTGGATCTGTAAATGCTAATATATCCACAGAGTCCAAGAAGCTCAAGGGCAAGAAGAAGGTCACCACCGACGAGGCCTGAGATGAGGCGTGGCCTGTATATTAGTGTATAATGGCATTGACGGCGTTTGGAAACCGGGGGTATATCAGATTCATAAACAGTTCCTGTGTAAATCAAATACTTTTATGATTATACAACAGTTCGACCAGAAAACACTTCTTTGGCAAACTCTTGGGCCTGGTGAACCGTCAGTAACGGTGCTGTTTCAAGTAAACTTCTGGACACAGCGAAAGACGTGGTGGCGTTTTGTTCGAGATTTGCTCTTTGTGAAACCCGTGCAACTTGATTTACATGATATATGTACTGGCAGTTTGTATGTTTTTTTTTGTCTTATTCTCTTCTTCATAATAGTTCTGCCATATGGGGTGGATTCTTTGGCCATGTTACGAGTGGGCTGAAGGCAGATCTTTAAAGAACTCTGAAGCATGAAGTGAGGTTTATATCCTTGCAAGAAAATTAAATCTGGGTGCTTTGTGAAGTAGAGAGGGAAAGTCCCTTGATCCTTAATTCACTTGCCTTGGGATGGTTGGCCTCACGAGTAACTCTAATACCCAACCCAACAAGGTGGCTCTACCAAAAATCTATAAGAGCCGAGTTGCTTCACCCACAAACTTCTTCTTCTCTTCTACATCACCACCTCACTTCGACACTCCTTTTCACCATCATATGGTCCTCAAAAGTTATATCATATAAGCTATTTAACTCCCTTCCGAGTCAAACAAGTTTATATTTCAGTTAAACATCAACACGTACCTCGATCGACCGAGGCCATCCGCTCCTTCCTATCTTTGTGAAATCAACTCGACCGCACCAGACAAAATTTTGACGGAAGGAACGACAGCCGTTCTTGCAAGTATCTTAAGCACATATTTACACATATCTGTGTGGCCCTTACCTGATCTAATCAGTTTGAGCTACAACTCCTATACCTTTGTGATCTTCTCTGTTTCCTCTCTTTCTTCCCTCCCAACCTTCATCACCAAACATCTCCGACCATACTACCCTCTCGACTCCCTTTACCCAACTGAATTACAAACCCACCACAGCACTGCCAGTACTGCAACTGAGAAACGATCAACATGTCTTTCACTGTTGCAGCTACAGGCTCGCCAACTTCTCGTCGAACCTTCACGAGCAGGAGCCAGTCTCAAGAGAATGCTGGCTTCGAAGATGAAAAGCCACAGATGCGTTCTGTAAGTAAACTCTCGAACTATATCTACCCCCACTCCAATATCCAGAACGAGTGTTCATGCACGTCGACCTATGGTGTCTAGTTCTGTGGCATTCGTATGCTGCTCTCTGCCCATATTTCATTGTTCCAATGTCCCTCCTGACCAACAATCTGACGTTTACAATCCTCATGTTCTTATCGACCCCAACTAATTCAAAGCAGGACCCTACCAACATGCTGAAGAAGTCTACCAGTGCTCTCTCCAGCTCCAAGCTTGTCAACCAAGTTCCCAAGGTCAGTTATAACCCCGATGCAGCAGCTGCCATTCCAAACTTTGTCTAGCTCTTGCCACTTCAGACTCAAACTAACAATTGCAGAAGGCGAAGATGAACCACGACCATACATCTTTCAACGAACTCAACCCAATGGATAGACTCCTTGCGAAGCTCTCTGAGCAACAGGCAACTATCAACAAGCAGCACGAAGTTCTTCAAACCGCTGATGATGCACACCGCACCCATGTATCTTCAGATGTTGAATATGTCGCAACTTCGGCAACGAGCTCTGTCTCGGTTACTCCTGCCACAAACTCTGCTGAAGGCACCGTTTCCGGTAACAGCACCGATACAGTCGACACCGTCGATGAGAAGAACACTCCACAGCCAAGCAAAGATGAGGTTCTCCGCCTCAAAATCGAACTCGAGAAAGCCAAAGGCAAGATTGCCCGCATGGACCAGGAGCTTACTCAAACTCGAATCACCAAGCATACTATTGAGCAAGCTATTGGTAGCAACTCGGAAACTGACTTCCCAATGGACCAGCTCAATGCTCCTGGCCGTTCTGTGTATCTCCCAGATGGTACTTGGATTGGCCAGGACGATAACCATTCTGACAACAGTGATGCTCTCTCTGTTGGTGGCTTCAATCGTGCCAGTGGGATTTGGGGTAACTCTGGTAGAGCCCCATTCACCAATTATCAAGGTGGCATGCAAGACCTCCAACCTGCTTCTGGGTTTCCTGGGAACCCTTGGGCGGCGGGACGTGGCTTCAATGTACCCTTTTCTGATCTCTCTGGGGGGTTGGGCCAAACTGTTCCTGGCTTTCGTTCTGACCGCCTTATCCCTGACAATGATAGCTCCATTGGATTAGCTGGTGACCGCCGAAACGCCAATCGCGGCCGCTTCATGAACCGCACTCCAGGCGCATTTCCATACGCAAGCAGCAACAGCTCTTACGATGGACTTACCCCCACTACATCCTACAGTTCTGTTGCAGGCCTTGGTGGAGGTGCAATCGGCACTATGGGAGGATCGATTGGGTTGAATACTGGTGGTGCTTTGAGCTATCAGACTCAGCCACTTGGGACCCCTCTTTCGCCATTTGCACCAGAATTCAACTCATTGAATGGGCAGTGGAAGAATGATGTAAGCAGTCAAACCTCTTCCCAGCCGTTTCATAAAATACTAACTTCTAAGAACACAATTGCTGTTGAGGGCCAAACCTTCCTCCCGACTACTGAGCCATTGAACTATCGTCGTTTACTTGACCGCACGGTCAACTGCAACTGGAAGTACATTGTCGATAAGATTGTTTGCAATAATGATCAGCAAGCATCTATCTTTCTTCAACAGAAACTCAAGGTTGGTACCACTGAGCAAAAGTATGATATTGTCGAGGCCATTGTTGCTCAGGCCTACCCGCTGATGATTAATCGCTTTGGCAACTTCCTTGTTCAGCGTTGCTTCGAACATGGTACTCCAGAGCAGGTTATCAAGATTGCTGAAGCTATTCGAGGCAACACATTGAATCTCTCCATGGATGCATTTGGCTGCCACGTCGTTCAGAAAGCCTTTGACTCTGTCCCGGAGGACTACAAGGCGATCATGGTCCACGAGTTGCTTCGCCGCATCCCGGAGACCGTTATTCACCGCTACGCCTGCCATGTCTGGCAGAAGTTGTTTGAGCTGCGCTGGACCGAGTCACCACCTCAGATTATGAAATTTGTGAACGAGGCTCTCAGAGGAATGTGGCACGAGGTTGCCCTCGGCGAGACTGGTAGTCTGGTAGTGCAGAATATTTTTGAGAATTGCCTCGAGGAGGACAAGGTAAGCCATCATCACATATGCGCCTAAATATTCATACTAACATATTGTAGCGCCCCTGCATCGAAGAAGTTCTTGCTAGTATCGACATCGTTGCTCACGGCCAGTTTGGCAATTGGTGCATCCAGCACATTTGCGAGCATGGAGTACCGGTTGACCGTAGCCGTGCTATTGACCATGTCATCCGCTATGCTTCTGAGTATAGCATGGACCAATTTGCCTCCAAAGTTGTTGAAAAGTGCCTCAAGATTGGCGGCGTGGAATTTCTTGGTCGATATCTTGATCGTGTTTGCGAAGGCCGCAACGACCGTCCACGCATCCCACTCATTGACATTGCCAGCGACCAATACGGCAACTATCTCATCCAGTACATTCTTACTCACTCCAACCCCCAGCATAGAGAGATTGTCGCTTGCCACATCCGCAAGCACATGGTCTCTCTCCGTGGATCCAAATTTGGGTCTCGTGTCGGTATGCTTTGCACCAACCCTGCCATTGCAACCCGCCCTGGACCTGGCGTTGGCCCCGCCCTCGGCGCAAACCGCATGCCTCAGGGCAACCCCCGATTTGGTGGCGCTTACCGCTAGATATTGATGCTGCCGCACCGTTGCCAATTCGGTAAAGCATTCCGGACTCTTCTGCAGGTCGTGGTCTGGCATTGCACGATATTCACAGGCGATGGAATAGCAAGTCATATTTCTGCAGCATAAATCATATCCCCAAAACAAGCTTCGTCTCAGCGCTTTTGGTGTTACCCATATATGGATGTCCCGATCGGCTCCTGAAATCCTCTGATCACCCAAGCTCGCTTTGTTTCAGTTCGGCGGTACTATTTTCAAAAGATCGTTTTCGTCTGAGATCCGCCAAAAATTTCTTCTTTGTCTTCATTTCGACATGTTCTCAAGCAACCTACCATACCATTACGTATCATCCTACGCTATGGATGTTATCCCATGGGCGACTTGGAAACTTTATGTTTATCGGCTTCTCAAGGAGTTCCTGCCTGAGGTGTTCCTTATGCTTTACAAATTGTTCCTCAAATATTTACCTTGAAAGTGAGAATCTGCTCGCTACTAAGGCATTGTTCTGATAGTCATTCGCCAGAGTTGAGAAGGGGCGAAGAAGCCAGATCGTCATAGTGCGTGCGGTTTGGGCATGGACAGAGTGGTGGCTTATATCGTCAAGGTGCAATTTTCTGGGTGGCTAGATCCTCCTGCCTCCTGCCTCCTGCCTGCGTTAGATCAGCTTTGTTATCTAGTCATCCATTCTAATAAAGATTGCTCATGAGAATAACTTTCTTCGGGGCGTATGGTTATTTGCTACTCTTCGTGCTTTCCAATATAGCATTGCTCTGTTCGGCTACGTTGTCAGTGGTTATTTAGGGATTCTATATTAGATAATAGACACTACATGCATTGATTTTATTTTATTGATGACCGTCTTAACTTGTGTCCACGATGATGTTGATGATATGGGGATGGATGGTTTTGATAATTCGTCGGTACTTGATATGTTGTACCCACCCGTATCTTTTACATGCACTAATACATTGATGCATAAAACTCGAGGTACTTCCCATTTTCTCGCTTACGGGTCACATGACACACCGAGTCCGTACTTCAGAAATAATTTCCTGCCTCTCTTTCCGTTCTTCTTTCTTTCCACCACATACTCGTGAACGGCTTGACACCAGCATTCGTCTTCGGACGCATAATGGAGTTGCCGTTCAGTTTGACTTCGAGGAGCCATCAAATCCCCATGATGTCAATTATCTAGTCAACGGGTCTGAGATCGATTAAGCACCTGCAACCTCGATGTTTTTGAGCCCTTCACGGGAGCTCGACGGAGAGACGGGTGTCTTAAGTCACTATATTCCAAATCTTTTCGCAGATGCCGTCGGCTTATGATGCTAAAGACTCACCATGGTGAATACAGTTCTTTTGATAGGATGTAGCTTTTAGTTTTTTTATTGAAATATGACCGTTTTCTTTTGCAGTTCTGGAAACCAATATAATGTCTCAATTCGGAGACGCCAATCCAATTCATCTATGTGATGTGATCACTGGGCAGGTGCTGTGCATATTATCTACCGCGATAAACGCGAGACGCGATCAAAACTTTTCTTGACCGCGCTCTTTACAGCCAAACGCGGTTCTGGACGCGTCAAAAAAAAGTCGGGGGAAGGGTTTCGGGAGGTCTTATTGAGGGGTGCCGTATATGACGCACGAGGCCCGCGATGATCTTATATGGCCATATATCCGTTTCATAATCCTACGTTATTCAAACAGCCAGCTCTGACATATCACATCCTTTTATTTACCAGCATGGCTACGTGACCGAGGACTGGAAAGACCAAGGTGTGAGACGCGGTTTTTGGTCACCTAATTAACTTCAGCCTGGTTGCTGCCTTCTCATCTGCCTTCATCTATCTCCATCTACCTACCCCTCATCCCAACCTTCACTCGCATCCCGGCGCATGAATTTCGCGCCCATCTCAAATCTACGCTCCCTCCAATCTTGAGACCGTTTCACACACACACACACACCTAGACAAATCGTCATAAGATCCGCACCCATGGGTCTCCTCAGGATCCCACGCCAGGATAACCAAGAAGGTTTCGTCCTGGTGCACATCGTCCCCCTCGCTCAAAAGGCCGCTGCGACGCTGAACGTCAAGATCCTGGCTACGGAGGGGGGTGCGCCTTTCGCTCTTACCTGTAATACCACACTCCCAATCCCTTCCCCCAATGCTGTCCCCAGGCAGTATCCCTGTGCCTTGCCGGGGATTAATGCACTTTCTCCCTCCCTTCCTTCCTTCCAGAAGATCCGCTGACCCGGCTGACTGACGCCCTTAAGTGAAACAGAATCAAGTCCAGAAACTCAAATCCAAGAAAGCACCCTGTACCGACAGCGAATGGGAAGCGATATTGGAGGTTATACTACTCCAGCAGGAGTCAGACCTTGAAAAGGCTGCTGCGACGGAGGGGATAGAAGTCGAAGCTGCTATCGAGGAGGATGTAGCTGTTGAGCTCGTCTTCAAGAAATCTACGTCGGGTATCACTGTATGTCCCCCCTCCCCCCACCCCCAAACATTCCCGAGTACCCCAGCTGACCCTACCCCGCTAGCAACGCCTCGGCTCCCTCCGCCTCCTCCACGACGAAGACCAAGAAATCGAACTCTTCGACTGGTGCGGTGCCTCGATCCAGCACTCACACTCCCTAACCAGCACCCTTAAATCCGCACAAGTAGATCTCCTCAAAGAGCAATCCAAAAGCCAGAAACTCGCAGAGCAGTTGGAGGACCTGCTCAAGGCGAAGGGGGATCATGAGCATGCCCTGCTTGAGAAGTTTTCGCTGCTGTTGAATGAGAAGAAAGCGAAGATTAGGGAACTGCAAGCGGGGGGGGGGGAGGTGGAGATGGAGATGCCTAATAGACATAAAAAGGAGTCACCTGTAGAGGAGAATGCGGGGAAGTCGAGGAGGGGGAAGAGGAAGGCGGAGACGGTGGAGCCGGAAGAGGGGGAGGAGATGGCTGTTGATGACGAGGGGAAGGAGGAGGGGGCGACGAGGGATACGAGTGATGAGCAGGAGACGGAGGATGAGGACGAGGAGCCTGTTGCGGCGAGGAGGGGTGGTGGGAGGGGTGGTGGGAGGGGTGGGAAGGCGGAGGCTGAGGCTGAGGCTATGGATGAGGATGGCTCGGCTACGGAGTCGGAGGATGATGGGCTGTGATAGGTTTGGTTGTGTAGTTGGAAGTTACTATACTATACGTAATGAATATGATGATTTTGGAAGATGTGGCAAGGGGCAGAAGCGTGATAGTAAATAGTCTTTAAACATGTAACAGTCTTAGCCCTCAGCAATTTGGCGCAGGGATTCGTACTATATGCCTCGTCAGATTCGTTCATTTGATAACTATCTCCCAACTCCAAAATTTCCCCCTATCCCCATCAAATATCCCCCAAAACGCCAAAGCTATGCACCCACCATCATCCCCCCAAACCCCCGGCCACTAACCCATCAACTCCACCCCCTGCCTCACAGCCCCCACGACCGCGCCCGTTTGCACCACCTCATTCCCCCCACCACTAAGCCTATACTCCACCTCCGCCAGCCCATCCATCCACGTAATCATCGTCTGCGCCGGCGTCTCCAGCTTCGTCAGCTCCTCCGCGATCGAGGCGATGATATCCGCCAGCGCGAGACCCTTGTTCGCTTTCAAAGTGTTGATGAGAGAGAGGCAGGATGAGACGTCGGAGGTCTTGAGGAGGGTGTCGACGATGAGGGAGATGTCGGCGGGCTCGGGGGAGGCGATGCATTCGTAGATTGTGGTGGTGGTGATTTTGTTGCGGATGATCTCGGATTCTTTGGGGATGGGTTGGCCTTTGATGTGTAGTGGTGTGCCTGGGTGTATTGTTAGCTGCTGTGGGATGCAATCAGGGGCAATGGGGGAACTCACTGCTAGCATGACAAGCTTGAAGCACATTCAGCGCTCTCCTCATATCCCCCTTGGACAATTTGGTCAGCGCCTCCGTGGCTTCACGCGTGATATTCACCGTCTCCTCCTCAATAACCTTATCCACCAACACCCTAATATCCCTCTCCTTCAACGGACTAAACCTAAACCTCGTGCACCTCGACAGCAGCGCCGGGGACAACTTATGCGTATAATTCGCAATAATACAGAACCGCGTGTTAGCCGTGTACTTCTCCATAATCCTCCTCAACGCCATCTGCGCCGTCGACGTCATCGCATCCGCCTCATCCAGTATAATCAACTTATACGTCGCCATCGACTTTCCCGACGCCTCGCTCGGGGCGGAAGAGAAGATCTGCCGCGTGCTGGCGAAGGTCTTGATCTGCTCGCGCACGACGTCGATGCCGCGGTCGTCGGAGGCGTTGAGCTCGAGAACCATCTGCCGCATGTTCTTGACGCCGTAGATGCGGCGGGCGAGGGCGAGGACGGTGGAGGTCTTGCCAGTGCCGGGGGGGCCGTAGAGGAGAAGGTGGGGGAGGCGGTTGGTTTCGACGAAGCGGTTGATGGTGGCGATGATGTCTTGGTGGCCGGAGACGTCTTCGAGGGTGTCGGGGCGGTATTTTTCGACCCTGGGGTGCAGGATTAGTTATGGGTAAGTGGGATGGGGAGTTGGGGACTTAGACATACCATGGCAGGGTATCTTCAGCTTCCACGGGGAGGTTTGCAGCGCTTCTCTTGCCTTGGGTGGCCTGCTTCGAGGAGAATGTAACTGCATTGTCTTCAAGATCCACTGCAGTGTCTACGTCCATTCCATCTTCGTAGTCGGACATATTTGCGGGTGAAGGGTTGAAATAGCAATTGCAAAGATTTAATGTGGTCTTAGCCTTGCACCTTATTGAAGCTTTGGTACTCGGCGTTTGGGGGACGGGGGACGCGACAGACGCGTAAAGGGTTGGTGCCTCAGGCATTATAAGGTATCATTATGGTACTCGAGGACTCGGACCTTTTTAGTGTACGGAAGGGTATGAAGCCGTACCTTTTTCTGTATGAAGATGTATATTTTACACCGAGTTAGGGTTAGCACAAATACTCATGATACTCATGAGTACTAGGTCACATGCAAATCACGTGATCTATAATTTAAAGAGCTTTACTGTCATACTGACATTCGTTGCACTCAGTTTGCTATCAAACTCAAGAGCAAACTTGGAAATCTCCTCCTCAAACCTACAAGTCACTATACATATTTTGGCTTATCACACCAACAACAAGAGCAATACTACTCAATGATTGCTACAACCATCTATGATTCATTACATGTCATCGCTCCTTAGTTACTGGGCCGATATTACCACATAGCATATCTCTACAACCCTCTATGATTCATTACATGACATCACTCATACTACCACATGATATATCTCTACCAACTAGAGGCCTAGGAGCATCAACGATAGCTCTAAAAGCTCTGTCATACTGACATTTGTTGCACTCAGTTTGCTATCAAACTCAAGAGCAAACTTAGAAATCTCCTCCTCAAACCTACAAGTCACCATACATATCTTGGCTTATCACACCAACAACAGAAGCAATACTACTCAACGATTGCTGCAAACTCTTCTACTACATCTGTTTATGCTACATACATCACGGCATATCATTTGGACACTCATTGAACAAGTTATTAAGAAAATCTCCTCCTTAAGGGGGTGGGCCAATACTACCACATGGCATATCTCTACCAACTAGAGGCCTAGGAACATGAACGATAGCTCTAGAAGCTTCTACAACCCTCTATGATTCATTACACGTCATCGCTCCTTAGTTACCCACAAGATTGGTTAAGTTATGACATAATTTGTCTATAGGTACTCTGACCTTGGACCTCCTTTTCACTTCCTATAGGCTAGGAACCCAAGAGATGGTTCTATGGGATTCTCTTACGTTCACTACATGATTAGCAAGCTAGTTGTGGGTCGCACTTGATTTCTAATACATTTACCAAGCCTGGTTAGTCATGGAAAGTCATGGAAAATGAGAGAACTACACTGTTACGACGGAACAAGAAGGCTGGCCAACTACAGGACAGGAAGGAGGGAGGTCGCATGAGACCGGCCCTGGTACCTGGAGGGGCAGCGGGGAATAGTAGTTCCGAAAGTATCACGTGACGGACTCGCAGGATGATGAGAAGAGTCCTAAGAGTCCAGGACTCCGAGGACTCGAGTGAGTTCCCAGGAGTCCACTAGGCACGTGATGGACTCGCAGGATGATGAGAAGAGTCCTAAGAGTCCAGGACTCCGAGGACTCGAGTGAGTTCCCAAGAGTCCACTAGGCACGACGCCACTATATAAGTAGATAGTATTTCCTTAGATAGGAGCTTCATGCTCAACTCAATACAGTATTTGTTATATACTAGTAACGTGTTACTTGAAGCCTTTGTGTCTGATCCCCTGCCTCCTCTGATAAGTAAACCTTTACGCAAGAGAACCTCTGTGTCTTCTATCGTTTAGAAGTCAGCGTTACACTAAGGAGCGATGACGTGTAATAAATCATAGATGGTTGTAGCAATCGTTGAGTAGTATTGCTCTTGTTGTTGGTGTGACAAGCCAAAATATGTATAGTGACTTGTAGGTTTGAGGAGGAGATTTCCAAGTTTGCTCTTGAGTTTGATAGCAAACTGAGTGCAACGAATGTCAGTATGACAATTCTCACATCTGGTGCACCCACCATTACAATTGCTTCTATAGCAAAGGACCACCTAGCTATTCCGGCTACCTCAGTGGACTCCCGAACGAGTATTTAGTGTTGGCGGTGATATTATCACAAAGAAACAGAACAGATTATCACCGTCTACACTTAGATATCTACTTTGCTTATGGAATTGGGGTATTTTATTACTGCTTGATTTCGTAAAACCGAGGAACCGACCTTCAAAACATTAACACGTGTATGATAATATTACTGCTCTTTTCATTATTCACTGGGTTTATTCCAATATGTTCCGTACTGTATATTAAAAAATACCCCTCGCACAGAAATCGTGGTCGTGGTCACTTGGTCGCTTGGTCGCTTGGTCGCTTGGTCGCTTGGTCGCTTGGTCGCTTGGTCGCTTGTTCCCCCATCCTATCGCTAATCGATTGCAGATTGCGGGTGGCTGGCGACCTTGGTCTGTGCCTGGTCCCTCACACCCGCCCTGATTGCCAGATTTTGCGACGCGAACTAACCAACCTCGCCATTATTCGAAGCTGTACCTGTCACTCCCACACAACCTTCTACTCTCAACAACCACCTCGACAACCCACGACCACGACTGACATACAGCATAGAGCGACAGCAATACCATCATCACATTGCGCAACTACCTCCACGACTGAACGACTTCGTTGCGGCTGCCTGCGCCATTCCAATTACCCACCAAACAAACCACCATCGCGTTGAACACCGACAGGACGAGCAAACGCGCGACAATTACCTCACAGACACGATAATCCCAATCAGCAAACATCAATTGTGCATATAACCTCTGTCTTACGCCTTCCGAACCCCCGCCACGTTCGCTTTCCGTCATGAATCGCGACACTCGGTCGCGATTGTGAAAGTCATTGCCATAGTTCGGATTTTTGTGGTCCAACAGACCACGGACAGGAATAAATTACCATTGAAAGGAGCGGCTTAGACCGGATAGGCCCGCAAAATGTTACAGCTGAAGCATCGACAGGTGGTGGAGGGGGTTGTGGAGAACTGGGACGATGACGACCTGGACATTGGAGGAGACGACTTTGCATTCCCGAGCAGGACCGTGTCCATCGCGACAAGTGCCGGTCTATCACACCACCGAGAGTCTAATTCATCGCATCTTTCCATTCGCTCGGACTTTGACTCGAATCACGGAGATGAGGAACGTCAAGTGCAGGTACCAGGCGATGACGAGAGGTCCAGACACGATGCTATAGCAGCAGCAACTAGGGCTGGCATCCCACTGCCACAGAATGTTCCGGCGTCAGCACTTATGGGAGGAACTATAAAGCGACTGGGCGGAAAGAAGGTGAAGAAGGTTATACAGCAGGACGACTGGGACGACGATCTTGAGCTGCCATCTATTGGAGGAAAGGGATTCCAGATCAAGAAGTACGACCCGAGCGAGTTCCCTGATGCTCTACGACAGGTCAGCGGCGCTGGAGGAAGCCAGTCCGGCTCGGCGAGAAACGAGTTCAGTAGCCCCGAATTTTCCAAGTTTGATGAATTCGACAAATACGCTACCATAAAGCCAAAGACTAACTCTGGTCACCTCAACCTGGACCAGTTCCGAGACGGCGACGATGATTATGATTTCTTTGGTGGGGGAGGTGGCACTATCAAAGTCACGAAGAAGCGCCTGGTGAAACCCGTCACGGTCGTTGTTCCACCCACTCCGGTGAAACCGGGGTCCAAAGATGATGATGACTTCGAGAGCGACTTCCAATTGCCCTCCGACGGCAAACCACTCAGATTGTCTGTCGGAAAGGATATCCCCAAAACTCCGGCAAGCTCACAAGATGAGTTTGACGAGTGGGGCGAGGGAAGCCTGGGAACGAGATTTGGAGGAACCCGGAGATCCGATGGCCGCCGCTCTAATAGAAGCTCGTCTGCTTCCGCCCTCAGCCCCAGCGTTTCCAGCTCTATTACAATCGAGAGCGAGGATGAAGGCCTCGATGGACTTGTTCTTCCAACCGGCCCATTTAACTTCGAGGATATCCTAAAGAAGCGCCAAGAAACCCAATCACCCGAACACCAGGAGGCCCAAACCCCAGGCACAAAACCTGAATCAACCAGACCAGCTGCAGCTTGTCTTTCATCGAAAGATGACTTCCTCTTTGGTCTTGAGATTGGCGATGGCGATGTCTTCAATTCGGGCCGTTTGACCCATAACCGCAATGTGAAGGTCAAGACAAGCCGACCGATGAGCCCGCAACGACCAAAGACGGCGGTTTCGTTGAAATTTACAGATAAACCATCCCCACCTGTGGCCTCCTCAAGGCTTCCCCGACCCCTCGGCCATGAGAGGCACGCTTCAAATCTCGATCCTGTCTCAGAGAGTGGAGGTCCCATGTCAGCTCAGGTTAAAAGAACACATTCCAGGCTGGGTCATTCTTCGCAGTCTTCCGTTAGCAGCATACCAATACCCGCCACCCCCACTGTACAATCTATGCCACCATTAACACCACGCCGACGTGATCTCGCGCAGAAGCCGTCGCTCAATGCCCTTCGCAATGAACCGACGACGACCAATGCTCAACTTCTCAAGTTGAAGAGGTCGATGCCTATTATAAGACACACCAACTCTCCTGCAAAGCCAGTGGTACATCGTTACGACAGGCCATCTTCCCGAACCGACTCAAACAGCAGGCCGAACTCAATTATTAGGCCCAAGACCCCAGTTGACCAGGAACGATCGGGCGCGGATAGCAGTATGTCTCATGCGAGGAGAAACCCAGTCCCGTTCCTGCCAGCTGGGAACTCGACCGCACAGTCTCATCATGTTACGATCAAAACCTCCCGCCACTTCCGCCAAAATGACTCTACATCCTCGATTACCAGCGACTACAGATCGTCGTCTCGTGCTATGTCTCGAACGACAATAAGATCTCCGAGTCCAAACCGCGCTCGGCTAAGAAACCCCGAGGCATTGGCTCGGGAAGCTGCCTCAAAGAGACAAGTCACGAAGCCTCACAAGCAACGTCACTTCGGCGATGGGCGTGAATTAGACGGGTTTGATGATCTACCTACATCTCAGACTATTGAGCAGAAGTACATTAAACAGCCTATCGGCCGAGGACCACCAAAAGCTCTCATGCGGAACAAGGTTTATCAAAACACTATTCCTGATAGGAGTGTCTCAACGACGCCTCTGCC